GAACTAAAGACAACACTGTTTGAATGTTTTCTTCATATACAAGTATCAAGTACTTAGTACAATGCAAGTTATGTTATTTGGAGACATCTGAACACAGTCCAGTTATTTGCTAAAACCATGTATCAAAGGAACCAGTAAAACTAGGGCATAGTAAACCACAAAGCTGACTAGTATTCAGGCAAATTATTACCTTTCAAATAAGGAATAGACAGAGAACAATTCAACAAGACATTGCACAGATATTTTATTGGGTTTGTTTTGGTTTGTGAGTGGTTTGTCGTTTTTTTGTTGCTGTTTTTCTGTTATTATAACATATTCCACTTCAGAGTTTCAGACTCCATAGGTTTGCTTTCAAGCAACACTGGAACAGAAATCTTACCTCTCTGGCACAGCTTTTACTTCACAATCGTCTTCACAACCATTTACATGAGTGGGCTAGTAGAAGAAATATTTCAAAACACATTAAAGGGCATAATTACAACATTCACCCACTGCAAATTTTAGACAATTAACAACAATTAACAATTAACTATTTCTGAATGGTACTAAGTTCAAAGCTGCACATAAAGAAAGACATCTCTCTTTTAGACATCTCATTAACCCAATATAACAAAGGATGAGAACACTAAACACTTGGAAAAATACTGTGCTGTAACAAGGCCAAAAAACTATGTTAAAATCAATCCTGACTCACAGCAGCATTACAGTCATCTACGTTAGAGTCATCTAACTTGACTTTTTCTGATTTCAACACTTAAAAATCCTTTATGAGATAAGTTTGATAGTGAAAACTGGCTCCAGTCAAGCCACAATTCCTATACAGAACAGAACAGGGCTTGACCTCTACATGACACATACTCCCATTATACCTTCCTCAACAGACATGAAGACTCAGAAGAGTCTTTTCCTCTTTCAAGAAAAATGCCACAAAACAATATATACTTCTTAGGCCAACTCGCAAGTTTCCACTGCCATACTCAGAGAATTTTACTCATGGCTCTCCTAGAGCACACTGACATTGAGCCAGATTCCTGATTTGATTTTCAGCTCTACTAACTGGACAGAAAGCTGCAAACAACAGTGAGGATATGCTGGATAGACAGAGTTCTGCTGATTGGAAACATGAGACAAAACCTATGCATCTAGTGATTAACATAAAACAAGACACACAATACTGTAGGGTAAATCACACATAGAAGCTATTCAAGCTAATGAACTTATCCTAGCAAAAAACAGTATAAGAAATTTCAAATATACATTTTGGACAATGAAGTTTACACAGCATTCATTGTGACTGCTTCCCTTCTTTGAGCAGGAATCAATGAAATCTTAGACTAAATGCCTGAAGTAATATTAACAAGGTAGTTTATTACCTCTCTTTTGGGAAAAAAAAAAAAAAAAAAAAAGCTGCTGGACTTTATCATCAAAATCATTATCATGGCTAGGCTTCGTGAATGAAGATTTGAGAAGGGCTCTACCCATGCTTGCTACAAGGGCGCTGATGGCTAAAAAGGCCAATGTGAGATAGACAAGTCTGGTTGCAAAAGGCATAGCGGACTTTATATGACAGTGTAAAATAACTATATGCTTTGTTCTTTTATATAGTTAATTTATGACAACCATATGCTACCTAAAAAATAAATGTTTGTACACCATTTAAGGCTACTACTGACAATGACGTTCTGACTTAAAAGACATTTAAAGTTATTTCCACAAATTCTATTCCTGATAAAGAAAATAAATTCAAAGAGTGTCTGAGAAACCAAAATCAGCAAATGTCTGACAGCTTCTTGCCATCCTACCTCTGAAAAATCTTCAGGTAAAGATGACCCATCACAGTCTGTGTCTTCAGACTTATCTTCCGTCACCTTTCCATTCATCTCTACTGAACAAGAAAATCGAGATGCAGCACAAACATACCACCAAAAGATGTCCAGGAGCCACCCCCTCACAGATGTGAATCCTGTTAACACCTGTCTGGCACTACACAGGGAGTAGAGGTACCAGAATAACCAAGAAACATTTTTTAAGTCCCTTTGTTACCAGCATGCTGGAAAAGAGCTCTTACCGTACAGGATAATCAGATTTTTAGGCTCCTTTATTTTATAACTGGAACAGCTGTCAAGGTATGTGAGGCTGTTTGCACAGCTAAGAGAATATCTGTGTCACAGCATAAATGGATGCACAGGCTGGTACTAGTAAATTATCATATTCTCATGTCAACAGATTTTTCTTCAATTCTTTTGGACCAGGAGTAGATCTAAACCAGAATTCTGCGTGCCAGATAGTATCTGACTTGTATCTGTGTGTTGCTGTAGCACTTCTCTGCTTTATCTTATAGATTCAGTTCATCTTCAGTTGCAAAGGACAGATGCCAGCTACAAGAAATTGGAAGTGCTGGAACTCCAGTGATATTCTGGCAAGGCCAGAACCTCAGTAATTCCCAGTTTCCAATGTAGTAACCGATGGCAATAACCCAATGATCTTGAGGTGCATTGAAAGTGCTGAAATAATTATAATTTTAGAAGGTGTATCTTGAATTTTGGAAGCAATCTTTACAGAAGTAGCCAGCATCTCACTTGAATTTTTGGAGGATGCATACATAGTGTGATACCACAAAAGAACTACAAATCCTACTCCTCACTAAATTTCAGCTAATAACAAGTGGAGCTGAGGACATGAAATGAAGGAAGAGAAAGGTGTACAGACAGAAGTAGGTACTGAAATAAACCCCAGTCTTTCTAAAAGAAACAAATCAGGTTGGAAAATTGTTTGGTTTTGAGAGATCTCAACGAGTTTCCAAGCTGTGCCATCTGCTATTAATGAAATGTTGAAATGCTTCAGCATTCCAACACAACTATAGCGGCAGGACCAGGTACCTAAACAATATGAATTTCACTCAAGAGACAAGAATGCCAGAATCAGACTCATTTTCCCAGACTACTTAAAGCAAAATCCAGATTTATCAAAACAGACCCTGATTCATTGAGTTGCATGTGAATCAGCAATTATTTGTTTGTTTTCAACTTCTGAAACTTTTGAGGTCACACATCAATTCAGTGTCAAATCTCCCTCTTGACAAATCAACTACTTACTTGGCACCTTCTTTCAAAAAGTGTTTTGCTGTTAATTATATGCTTTTTTTAATGGTTCATGTTACCTGGCAGATGATCTTCTGATGCAGCCTTCTTGAGATGCAGAAGACTCTGAGCCTCTGAAGTTGCATTATTACAATTTAAGAGGTTCTGGGCTTCCTCATCTACAACATCCAACAGATATTGGACAACTTCATTGTGATCATCCTCATCATAATACTCATCATCTAGAATCTCTGTTCCTGAAGAAAAACAGTATAAAATTACAAGTTTTCCTAATATAGGATGGCTTAGGGGGAAAAAAATAAAAGGGCAGGCACCATGGCATTATCTCTACATGTTATCATGGCTTGCCTAATTTCTCTCTAATATAGAATCCAATTCCCATAAATCTACTTGCAGTATCAACTAATCCTCTAAGGCAAAGCACACAACTTGGTGATGATCTTCCGAAATTGAATGCCAGCCTAACATTGACTTATTTCAGCGTATTCAACAATGTCATGATTCTCTTGTACACTCAGGACAAAATAATGCTGTTCCCATTTCACCTCCTCTTACCTGATTTGTCCATGTGTTTAGAAAAATCTGACATCTGATTGGTAAGCCCTAGGGAAGGTGCACCTCCTGATCCTGAGAGGTTCATTAGTCCCTTCACGTGATCAATATTGTTTTCTGTATTTCCCTGAGAAGGTCCTAGGATGCCACTGCCATTTATCTAAGAAAGCAAAGAACAGTTCAAATTAGCTTTTAAAGAGTCTGACAGTTTGATGAAGCAGAAACCAACCATTAAAAAGTTATCTTCTCAACAAAAAATAAACCCCCCTATTCATATTATATTGTTATCTGAGATAGCTGGGTGATGGGTGGGAAGCTTTTAGGTGAGATATGAAAAGAGGAAATAAAAAGATTTTAAAGAACAATGAGAAAAAAAATATGTCTTGATGAAGAAGCAGCTTCTACAAGAGGACACATAGTAGTGTTTAACAATATTATAACCTCTATAAAACATACTTTTGGTCCCACAACACAGCATTTCTCAGAAAAAAATAAGGGGAGAAAAGAAAACCACCCAGCAAATGTAACATGCAAGCATCTGCAGAAACTGTGGGCTGAATGGAGTTTTCTGGATCATAGCCTTGCATCCTTCTCATATGACCACTTGTCTCTCAATAAAACCATCCCAAAGAAAGAGCAGATTGATCTAAAAAACTTGCATATTTATTACAATCTCTGCTTATTTGTATCAATTGACAATAGTGGGTTTGCATACTTTGATTAATGGACTGTTTAATTAATTATTTTTTTTTTTAAAGTTGTAAAGTAGATTCTTTTCTCTGGTTAATGATAATAGGCACAACAGAGGAATAGTTACCTTGGGCCCGTAAGCATCAATTGTCTTTACTGTTTTATCACAGGGATCACCACAGGAACAGCCTAAACAAAAATGGGTAAAAAACAGCAACCTCACAGCAACTTTTCACAGAAACTAAATCAGTCCCCATCAATTATTTTATGAAAGAAACAAGGTATTTAATATTATGTTATGATATGAGTAGCATTTCTGCCTGCCTGGTTTCTGGGCGCTGCCAAACATACATCTGATTGACTATACTTCAGAATGCTTTTTGAATGTTATATTTAATGGGATCAGAAAGCACGAATGCTAATACAAGTGAGCAACTCTAAGCAAAGAGAAATGTTGATAAATATTTTAACGAAGTACGGTGGAAACACACACATTTGGGAACAGGGTTGATTCCCTTTCCCTTGAAATGTACAAAATACAACCCCACTATGACCTGTCAGTGACTACACTTTTTAAAAAAAGCATCATCTGATATCTGGGTCTTTGTTCAAAGGTACCTTTCCCTTCTAGGTAAAGAAGAGTGACACTGATGTCAGAGACTGCTGCCTACCCTAGAGGTACCATTACTAGTATTACAAATGAGACCAAGGTGAAGCAGTAGATGATATATACCCAGCTACTAGTGAAGTTCTGGATCTTTATATACTTTATGCTTTTATAAATGAAGGAACCTGTAGATGAAATAAATGAAGACTGGGAGTAACCTTACATCTCGTCTTGACGTATAGATGACAAGTCATCTACAGGAAGGGGGTTTTACGTGGGATCTTTCAAGATATGGTTATAGGATTTGCTCGGTTATAGGATTTGCTCCTAATGAGTATCTTGACTATGTTTATTGAAATAAAATAAATAGCATACTCGGTAAATATGGGAACAACGCTACTGTAAGAGTTGCAATAATTTCATCAGGTGAGATCAGTACTCCAAGTTATCAAGACACACTAAAGGGAGCACGAAAAGCAAGACTACAGTGAATCAAGACAAATGCTAAGGGCCACATTTCAAAGAAAAAGCAAATGCTTGAGACGGTAAATAACTGCATAAGCACTTGTTCTGCACAGAAATGCAAGTGGTAAAGGACTCTAAGAAAGTGAACAAGAAATTTGAAGCCTTTTCCAAGGTAACAAATTGGTATTTTTATGTCAGAACAGAGGAAACAACATCAACAATTAATAACAATTATGATAATCAACTGATTGTGATTTTTTAACTCCTTGAAAGACTTAGGCTTGATACTAGAGAGAACTTCTAAACTACATGAGAAATGGAATCATAAAGAGACTATTGTTGAATCTCTTTTCACGTAGGTTTTAAAAGAAAGATCAAGTAAGCAGCTGTCGGAGCTGATCACAGTAAGCTGGACTATGATAGTATCATAAGGCCCGTAGCAGTTCCTTCATTTTTATAAACACGTGCATTTCACTTGCAATGAGTAAGAACACAGATCTTACCATTAGCTTTCACTGGCCATGGATTTGAGTTACTGGGGCTTTTGGATTTTGGGACCACTGCATGACCATCTCTAAGAAAAGACATATTTACAGAAATCTTTATTAAAAAAAATAAATAAGTCATGGTAATCATCGCATATGGATGTAAATAGTACTACTGGTAAAACTGCTAATCACGCTTTCTATTATAACACTTTTGGAATGCTTAGGATATTCAGTGACAGAGATTAAGCAGTGGTAGCTAGGTAATTTCCTACTTCAAGGAGCAATAAAGAGTTCACAAGAATTTGACTTTCCTTCTAGATACTGACAAAAAGACTGAAGACTTTGCAACTCCTTCCCTTTCTGGGATAAAACACAGTGGGAAAGAGAAAGGGAGAGAAGAAGCAAAGAACAGCAGGCATGGTTGGAAGACTTTAAAAAGATGAAGTAGATGTTTCAGTTTTAGGTAAACATTAAAGCAGAGTAATGTAGAGAGGTTTTTTACACTGTTGCCATAAAACAACAGCAGGGGTCAGTGAAAACACAGTGGCACACTAGGAGCTGTGCCATAGGGTTTTGACATTCATCAGTGTGCTGGGACAACCATGTGACAGTAGAACTATTTAAGCACAAACCAACATTTCATCACATTTTTATGATTACAGAACTCTCAGTAGCAGCTTTAAGGAAAGGGAGTATTTGTATAATCATTTTCATATTTTGAAAATGGCGTTTTCATAGAATCATTAAGGTTGGAAGAGTACTCCAAGATCATCAAGTCCAATCTTCAACTGAACACCACCTTGGCCACTAAACCACAGCACTAAGTACCGTGTCCAATCGTTTTTTGAATGCTTTTATGAATGGTGACTCTACCACCTCCCTGGGAAGTCCATTTTGATGTTTAACCGCCTTTTCAGTGAAAAAATTCTTCCCAATGTCCAACCTGAATCTCCTCTGGCACAGCTTGAGGCCATTTCCTTGTGTCCTGTCACTAGCTTCCTGGGAGAAGAGGCCAACTCCCACCTTGCTGTAACCTTCTTTCAGGTAGACAGTGACAAGGTCTTCCCTGAGCCTCCTTTTCTCCAGACTAAACAACCCCAGCTCCATCAGATGCCTGCCATAGGACTTACTCTCTAAACCCTTCACCAGCTCCATTGCCCTTCTCTGGACTTGCTCTAGCACCTCCATGTCTTTTTTGAAGTGAAGTCCCAGAACTGGACACAGCCCTTGAGGTGTGGCCTCGCTAGTGCTGAGTACAGAGGTACAATGACTTCCCTGGTCCTGCTGGCCACACTTTTTGATACAGACCAGGATGCCATTGGCCTTGGCCATCTGGGCACTCCTGGTTCACATTCCGCTGCTGTCAACCAGCACCCCCAGGCCCTTTTCCACTGGGCCACTTTCCAGCCAGTCTTCCCCCAGCCTGTAGCGCTGTAGAGGGTTGTTGTGACCCAAGGGCAGGGGGTCTGTTTGAACACTTGTAGTTCACAGCTGGATACAGCCTTGAGTTCCCAAGAAACACAAAGCACGGCAAGTACCAAGTACCCTTCTGCTCCACTACAACAGAAAACAGTGAACATACAGATCCTTTCTGTGGCATCAGTCCTCAGTAACATGCCACCTAGTATCACTGTGGTGAATTTCCTGTCATACCAGGAACATGTTTTACCCATATACTCATACAATCATGCAAGAAAAGTAAAACCTACAGGGAAGCATTTGCTTCCAAAACATACCTGGTTGCTTTGAGCACCACTTTTGGAAGGTATGTTTCCAGCATTCTTCTGGCTTCTTTCAGAGTCATTCCCTGTGTGCTTACTCCATTAATGTAATGGATAATATCTAGTACATGGAGACTCTCATCTCTGGCAGCAACCGATTTGGGAATAATGTCACTAATATACACAACTTGATAAAGGCTGTCATGACCTCCTGATAACAATAAACCTTTGCAGGAAAAGAAGGGGGGGGGGGGAACAAATCAAGCTTTCTTTGTATCTGAAGGGGATAGTTTTGCTTTAGGTCAAAAAACTGTAATTGTGTGTTACCTAGCTCCTCCTTATGGCAAACCAGTGTAATATCAGGCAGTAAATGAGGCAACACTGGCATCTTTGGTAACTCCAAAACACGGCCTAGTACTAATCTCACAGTCCTTGGGGCAGCACGAAGAAAGTTTACTGCATCAGTATGGCTCATGTTAGTGACATCGATGTCATTAACCTGCAAAAATAAAAGCAACAGAGATCTCCTTGTTAGGTTCCAAGTAAAACAGGACTACTGAGGAAGCATTTACTGCTGTTCCTCAACTGTTATAAATTATGCCTCTCAGAAGGTGCATGCCTTAGCTCCCTAACCACATTTGACTTATTTTTTTTTTTTACTCAAAGTTGTCCTTTTCATGCAATTCCTCTATCTGAAAACATTATTCTCTCACTTTTATCAGTCGGTCTCCAGGGCGTAGTCTCCCATCACTTTTGGCAGGATCCTGAACAATGTCATGAATGTAGCAGCCAACATTATCATTACCTTTGGTCACTGTAAAACCCAGACTACCCTTTTCTGACTTTGTCATAGTGACTCGGAGCTCTACCTCCTAGGGGAAGAAAACAGTACTTTACTATGCAGACAGTCAGAAGCAACATAAATGTTTTACTGAATTTAAGACATTTAGAAACAGACAACTGATTTACCTATTGATTTAAATGACAGAACCAAACAATGTTTTGTGTGGGGCTAATCTTGGGCCAAAGGCCTACGATTTAAACAAAACTGTGAAGGCTCATGTCAAAACTGCCACCTTATTTTACCTTCAGCTAGTTCCATATATAAAAAAGGCTCTGTGTTTTTAAATAACACAGCAGGAAGTATTCAGAACAAAGTAAGTGAACATTCCTACAGTGAACTATCTCCTATAGTGAGATACAATACTATAGCTTATCTTGGAACTAAACATATGGACATGTTTGGCCTATTTTAATTGGCATTAATTTTGATTTGAAAGATATGGATCTGCCTTATTTGCATTAAAAAAAAATAATCGCAGAGCATCAGGAAGGTTTGAGAGAAAGTTCTGAAGAAGGGACTAAGAAAAATACAATTTGTTTCTTGTCAAAATGGAGTATAAGCTAGAATAGCTCCGTAACCTGGAAGACCTTCACAATTGAGGCATATCAAGGCTTAATTTTACTTTTTTTTTCAATCTTTAAATAGGTTATGTGAGGATATGGAAGCAAAAGTCCCTTCTGATAACAAGACACTTCTGGGGTGGCAAGAAGCTATCCCTAAAGAGCCTCAAAAATATGCTGCATTCTGCAGCAGAGCAGAAAGTCTTTGAGATTCATAGTTATAAATGCAGCAAAGAACAGGGTCTACTGATGTCCTTGCAGCCCAAATTTATCCTCTGATCTCTAAACAACCACCCAGAAAACTAGAAGTGCAGAAGCAAGATACCTGCCACTTCAGCTTCCTAAGTATGTGGTTTAGATGTAGGTAAATATTTAATGCCAAGGTTTCCAGGATGAAATGATGCATGAAATAGCCACATACACATCTACCGATGTACACATGGATGCCTCCACATTCACAGAGGGAAATGTACCAACTCAGCGCCCAGAGAGAAAATGCCTGCAGACACTGCATGAGCAGCTGCAGTTCACTAGTTACAAATGGCACTTTAACATGAGCCACACCTAGCACAGTATAACCTGCAACTATCCCATTTGTAAATTAATGTGCCCAGCTTCTATCCAGTCACTCCCATATTATGGCTAAAACAGCTTCTAGCTGACCACAGAAGTACAATCTATGCTACTGAAAGACAGAAATAGGAAATTACTGGTTCGTATTCTTCAGCATTTTTTTCCAGCTGGGTGAGTAATGAATCCATTCCTCCCAGGTGTGGAGTCAGCTCAGAGACAGGAGTAGCGTAAGAGTCATTTATTAAAATGGACGTGGTAACATCAGGTACAGTTCTACAGGTTGGGATCACTGGCAAATCCAATGGCATATTACTACAAATAAACCAGATAAAAAACAAACAAAAATAAGTAAAACATGACTGTGACTCATAAATTAATATATGGACCAATATGGACTTTACGCAGATTTAAAAAGCAAAACAAAAAAAGTGTTTCCATGAATAGGTCCAATAAAATGTTTTTGTAAACGTTTCTGGAATATTATGAGGATCATTACCAACAGCATACCTGTCCTCAAGCTCCGCCTTGCTAGAGACCTCTTGATCAGGATACAGGATGGTACGAACAGCCTCCTGCCCACCGTGTGCCTCATACTGGCTTTGTGCCCGTGTCTCAGCTTCACCTGAGTGCTGGTACAGTGCAGAACTCCAGCCAAGGTTCACCTGTGCTGCTGAGTCTATCACCTCCTCATCACCACTTCTGCTGCTGTCACTGTAGCTGTCTCTTTTAGATGGAGATTTTAGCCTTTTCTTGCTCAGATCAGTACTTTCATTTTCATCTGAGCTGCCACCTTGTTCTCCATTTGATGGACCTTCTCTGCTGACCTCTGGAAATACTTGCTGGGGTGAATGGATGGGTGTCTACAGAGAGCAGAAACATTGGATTCATCATAACCCAGTTTTGATGACAAAAGAAAGTTTCAAAGACTGCATAAAATTACCAAAAACAAGTAGTGAATGGCTACTTTCATTTAGATGTTTACTCAGTTGTGTAAACATAACAGTTTCACCAAGTTCAGCGCAACTTGACCAACACACAGGGTGCAAAATTTTGAAATATATACTGCTCAGAATTAGAAAATTCATTGAAGAAAACAAATATACTCCTGGCTTTACCTTCAGAAAGCCTACTGACAGATGCTATGCCCAACAGTCCTCTAGGCAACTACCATGAAATCCCTTCCAACCAGATCACAATGCTGACACAGAGCAACTGAATTCAAACCAATCTCGCACAGGAGAGAAACAAGGGGGCTTTCAACCAAAAAACTACACAACACACTACAAAAACTAAGATAATTTATGCCAAATGGCAACTGTTAACCCAGTTATTAACTCCCATGCGAATGAAGAACAATTTTACCAATAACCATGTATTTCCAAGAATGATGTCAGCTAGCAGACAGACAAAATTTAAAAGCTTCATTTACGCTTTTACGGCCAAAGTCTTGTGTTCATTAACACACCAATCTATGATAAAGTTACAAACAAAAATTTTCATTTGTTCTCTGGCTTTCCTCTTCTTTTAATATATGCACTGTTTTATTAAAGTTATTCCATGCTACACAGGTTTATTACAGGAGTAGTTATTTTACTATTTGTTTTTTCAGTTGCTTACCTCTTACTTCAATTTTAACTTCACTTAAATTTGTATTTGTACATTTAAGTTTCTCTCATCAGATTTGAGTTATTTTTATTTTTTGAAAATAATATTAAAATAACTTAGAATCAAAGAATCATAGAATATCCTGAGATGGAAGGGACCCACAAGAATCATTAAAGTCCAGCTTCTGGCCCTGCACAGGACAACTCCAAGAATCACATCATGTGTCTGAGAGTATTCTCCAAACACTTCTTGAACTCTGGTACACTTGGTGCTGTGGCCACTTCCCTGGGGAACTGAAACTGAAGACTTGTCTCCATTAGTTTTAGACTTTCCTGTATTATGGAAAGCCTGATTTTCAGGCAAATTGTCTCCTACATTCTATTTTGTTGAAACACATTTAATTTCCACTCCTTCAAAGTATCCTAAAATGGTCTTCTGTTCTTTCAATTTACTTATTGGAACATACTGAAAATATTCTTTGGTATACCACTAGTTTCAAGTAAATATGGCAACCTTTTTCCTGTTTTTACATGCGTCGACACCAGACAAACCGGTGCTTTGCACAATATCCTTCACAGAATCAGAGAAATATCCAATTTCTGTTTGATACCACATTCAAACCACTAGGTTGCAAAGAAATCTCTGCCACAGAAACAGTGTATTAAGCCAATTTCCCTTAAGACACAAAATGGAGGAAAAAAATGATTAAAGCCATGTATTCCTTTCACATTTTCACAAAATGCTTAGTGCACTCCTAAGGGATTCACCCTAAGAACCACATCTTTGTGAGCACCCTCCCCACTTTTCTATCTGCATCTCTTGCATTTAACTAACCCAGCCACCAGATCTAATAAATGGACCTTAAATAGCAACTATTAAAAAAACCAAAACAAAGCATATGCCATACACCTTACCAACAACGAAGGATCAATGTCTGGTAGTATTCCAGATGGTGGCCGACAAAGGAGAAGAGAGACTTCTGGAGACGTTCCCCTCAGAGCAGAGATGACTTCCTGTGGCCACAGCGGATTCATTGTTAGACACAGCCCCACCAAGACTTGCAGGACTACCACAATATGAGTGTCACTACTAAAGATACAAACCTGCTGGGATAAACCCTTTAGCGATGCTCCATTCACTTTCAGAATGACATCCCCAATCTCTATTTGCCCACTTTCTGCAGCAGGCTGCCCAGGGAAGAGTTTTTTCACCCTCACAATAGTTGACCCCAGTTGCTCTGAAGTAATGTTATCTTCACGGCAGAAACTGAACCCAAGGCCTGAGCTATTCTTCAACAGCTTCACCTCAAATGTGTTCTCTGCAAAAGAAGCATTAACTTACTATTTCCTACAGCACACTGGTCATGAAGAAAGTGTCTTATTCCAGACATGACAATGTGCAATCTTCCCCTCACGGGAGTCCTCACTTTATTGAACAGAAGTGTTGTCTAAAAGATCCCTCCAAGGTAAAGAGGACAAAAAAACTGATTGTGACTTCTCAATCTGCTTGCATGCCCTGACAACATCAATATACAGAAAGGCAGTGTCTCCAGAGTGATATTCCACAGGAAGTCTATTAAGGAGCCTTTTAAAGCCCAGAGTGACACAACCTTTCTGGTCTGGCAGACAGGATAAATTCCATGCAAGAAGACCCAAAGGTATCTGCAGCGGTTCCACCATCTGGGTAGGCTTCCCTTCACTTTCACAAGGCACCAGTAGAAGAGGCTGAAATGTGTCAACCTCTAGACAGCTACACAAATCCCTCGTCTCTTCATGTAGCTCTCGATGTCTTCTCTCAGGAACTGCAGGACCTACAGAAGCTCTCAATTATGTACAAGTACCTTAACCACCTCGTGGGACTCCTTAGCAGCATCAAATACAGCAGCCCCCCCCTTACTCCAACCTTGCTACAGACTTGGCATGTGAGATTATGAAATTGGGAAACAGCAAGAAACAGTGAGAGCGCGAACAGCCAATAGTAGCTAAACAAAGTAACCAAGATGTGAAGGGCAATCTATAAAAGAAATGCAACAGCACAAAGGAAGAGACTGCATTATGTGCAGGGGTCTAGTATACATTCCTACCAGCTCCATCTCCTGGTGTTGTAAGAACTGAAGAAAAATGTTATGAAAACTAAAGGATGCTTTGACAGCTAAGACAATTGTTCCATGCGACCAGACCTGCAGTGACGAAGCTGTAATCTTTGGCATTTGTAGATTCTGTTGCTGGCTTCTCCTGTGGCTCATACTGATTTGGAGGTGTGCACTGTGTTGTTACTGGAGCACGAGCCTTGGCCCCTGAAAGCTGACCTTTTTCCAACAGCAGATGCACCACCTAAAGAGATAAAACATTTTCCAGTTAAATGGAAACAGTCAGGGAGATAGCACAGTATGTGTTTTATTCTAATTTGTCACTCTTAAGTTTTAAAGCAGCAAATTTTATAAACAGTCCCCTCCCAATATATCCTCCATTTGTTCCTTATTTTAAGGGCTGTTAAGTGACAACCTCTAAAATACACTAGCGGATGTGCAAGATACTTGCCAACACAGAGCAAGAAAGAGTTTTCTTCCAACAAAGCTGTGAGAGTGTTAAGAAGTGCCAAAGATAGAGTCATTTTCACATTTGCACAGGAAATAAAGTAAAAGCATTTTACAAAGTGAACACAGATAGTAGTCCTTAGCAGTTCTGAATGTGTACATTCATTGGCTATTTTCAGGTGTGCACACACCTCCATATATGAAGCAGCCACCATAAATAGCACTATTAAATGAGGACACACCACTGACAGAATCAAGTGCTACCCAAGAAGACCAAGGCTCAAGTAAATCTAGCAACGTAGCATGCAAACACAGCTGCATATACGGAGGTCCTTGTCTCCTCAGTGATGCAGACCTGTAGTATGCTGCTACACCTGCTTTCCAACTTGTGCACCTGGGCTTCCTTCCTATGGAACCCATGAACTAGGAGAAACCAATTCTATACAGACCCCACCCGCACACAGAGGCAGAACTTCACTAGGGTGGGAAGCAACACCTGAGGGCCAGGAAGCCAGGGAGTCTAAGAAAGCACAGCTAAAGTAACCACCATACTGGGAAGAATTCCAGTCTCTTTTTGAGAGAATTTCCAGTCTCTTTTCATTCATAAAGAACTGGTTTACTACAGATAGGAGTAGAACCAGTAGCACTTACCTGTCCAGTGTTTCTCAGAGTTTCAACAGCTTGCTTATGGGTAGCACCTTCCAAACTAATGCCATTCACAGAGAGCACGCGGTCACCTACAAATGATTGATTAATAATTTAAGAAAAAGTAGGCAGAACATCACCTATAAAACATCTATTATGCACAGAAAGCTTCAAATCTTAGCTAACAAGGACGGTTATTTACGTAAATTCTCCCTCCTCTCCACAAGAAGAGAACTCTGCAAACAAACTATATGGTTGAACTCCAAGGTCTTTTCCAATCTAAATGATTCTATGATTCTATGGAATAATCCCCATGTCAAAACTAGTGTTAACCAACATAATGACAACCTGTCACAGAGCTCAGATTCTTAATTAGAAACAAATTTTAAGTCTACAGTGAGAATCCTCACTTCAGTAAAGAATGTGGCCTGGCTTACAAACAAGACAACTCGTAACAATTACAGCATTTTCTGTATTCAGTTGCCAGGCAGGCTAAGCAAGAAGGTCACCAATAATATAAAGCCTTCTCTCTCCATGGCTAGAACAGAGAAGCATTCTCTGTTAACACAAGCTGCTTTAGAAAATAAAAATACCACAGCCTGTCTCCTATTTTTCCCCACAACAGTCTCAGCACTGTTGGTTCTGCACTTGTTCTACACTGTTTTTTTAATCTTCACCTGCAGAATTGTTAATATTTAAAATGACAAGTGCAGTGGCTTGGAAAAACAGTTCTTCTTCCCAGTGAAAAAGGTACAATGACAGGAGGCAAATAAGAGGGCTTGTTTCTAGGCCACAGGTTACTGTCAAATCCACCACCGACAGTTCTCTGCCCTTTTTTCACATTAAGAGTCCCAAGTGAAAGAATGGAAATATTACCTTTTTCTATTCTGCCATCTGCTTCAGCGGCTCCCTTGGGAATAATCGCTTTCACATAAATACCACCATGCCTTATGCTAGTATTTACACCACCCTAAACAGAAAGTAAAAATACGATTGTTAGTCTTTTGGCAGTTAGAATACTTAGTAATTAAACACAGTGTCACACAAAGAAAACTGTACTTAGGAAGCATTTGGACTACTGGCATGTAGAAAAGCCAGGTGAACTATCAAAACAAAAATGTTACACCAAGCCTGTTCTTTGCAGTCATGCAATGTACTATAAATGAAGTTGGGGTGGGAAGATTGTAAAAACACAATGCATGACAGTGCAAATGCATCCAACACAAACAAATGTCCTTCAGCAGAAATATGTCTGCATTATATCAGACTTTACATGCTTGCATGCATATCAAAGCTCAGAGATGTGCAGGAGCACAGCATGCCAAAGCAGAAGATGCACACCCATGCAGTGTTGTACTCTTAACACAACTTCTCTGATGTAACAGGAAACTAAGGAGTGCTGCTTTCTCCTAGCTCAGACAAGTTTGAAGGTCTAAGCTGAAAAAATCTGCTCAGACTGAACTGACAGTGTTTTTGGAGGGCCTTAGCCTTTCTGCTGATTGCAGGGGGTTGAACTAGATGATCTTTTAATGTCCCTTCCATCCCAAACCGCTGTGTGATTCTGGTTCACTGCTGCTCCACAAACTTGGAAGGAAGAGGGAGACCAACAGTGTATTAATGTTCACTCCCAAAGCACACAGTGAAACGTGAAAACTTAAAACAGTTGATTGCACACCTCTCCTCATCACCACTGTACAGGATAGCAGTGTAGGGGCAGAATGGAGGCTGAAAAATCAAAGGTCCATAAAGATACCACTTGGTCACTCTTTAAAGGGAAATCTTTGCATCAGCTAGTATCTTCTAACATCTACTACAAATCCAATGCACACCGCAGCCTGATGCTGCTCAATGATGAATTCCTGCCAAACCTTTGTTCCTCCAACTGTCTCAAGTTATAAGCTTGACAACACAACATGACCTTGAACAGTCTGGTGACCAATCAACCAGTGAAAATAGTTGAATATTAAAACACCAAGATGTATTTTTCAATACAAGAACAGAAGCAGCAGAAAATGTGTGCATTTCAGATATATAAATTATTCTCTTCTTCCCTGAAGTGCCACTCTGCAGTATGACAGGCTCTAAACATAAAACCACATTCAAAATCTTATAGCCTGAAGAGAAATTAGTCATTAAAGACATATTTTTGTCTCGTGTTGCAAGAAAGCAGCATCAGTCAGGTCTCATTTGGATTTGAGTAGCTTTTTGCTTTCTGCCTTTTATCCAGCAGAGGGAGAACACTGAACATGGGATATGCATGTGAGTGTGCACAGATGCTCTTAAATGACACTACCGCTTCCACTGCCTGCGATGCCAGTCAGGGAGGGGCTCATTTCTTTCCTTGTAAATTTGCCACAATATTAGGTAGCAAGGGGCAAAGATCATCTTTCTTTTTGTACTCAAAAAGCAGCATCTGTGATAAGAGTCTATAATGACTTTGGGGCTCCACCATAGAACAAAAAACAAGAATCACTTAAAGGGCGTATGACAAGAAAAGGGATATAAAAAAGTATTACTTTTCAGCTTTGGTAAGATTAATCACACATCAGTAAAACTATATACTGAACAGTGATTTTAGAAAGTATTTTGCTTCCTTGTAATTTAGCAATTTAATGGGTTGCTGGGAGTAGAGAAAAAGAGAAAACATCTAAAAACCTTGTCAAACAGTACCGTGACACTTATTCCCAAGCCGTTATCTTTTTTGGCTAGTTCAACCTCAAAGATATCTCCAGGTTTAAGAAGTGCTGCGGTAACCTTTTCAGAATTCACTTTGTTTGATGAGAAAGATTCCTTTATAGAGAAAAAAAAAGGAAAAAGAAAAAGAAACAAACAAAACAAAAAGAGACAATGATTTGCTATTAGAACAGATGTTTACAGCTAAGACCCTAAGGGGTGGGGTTTTGAGTCAGACATAGCCAGAAGGAGTCCACATGGAAAAGTACCAATTAGTAAGGCTCTTAAGGGTCACTAGCACAGAAATATGCTTGGCATTTAGCAACCAAGTCTTTATTGTCAAAGTGACTTGGTCACAGAACACCAAAACTACAGTATTTCAGTATTACAGCAGCTTAGAGTCTGTTGGATTAATTTGCAGGAGCTGCTACAACTTACTTGCATAACCTCCATCAGCTGAAAAGAGGAATCACTGTAAGTTGAAAATTAATTAGCAGTACTTTCCACTGTGCATTTTTGGAAAGGTGAAGCAGCAGGCTGTCTCTGCTCAGAGCATGGCTGCCTGCTGAACTTTACTACACAAGCAGTTTTCCACAGCTTAGATCAATCCCAAAAGATAATGAGTTCTACTGCTACTCACTCCAGATGCATCACTCCTACTTTAATCTAGGAAAAACTGAATTTATTTGCCAGGTGAATAAACTTACCTCTAGGGACTGTCACTAGATTATGATCATATTGGACAAATGCACAAAATTGAAAGGAGGTTTTCTAAAGCCTCAACAAGTGCCCTGTATGTTAATCTGAAAGTACAGTCTGCCTCTATTAAGACATGCCCATCTTGTGACATTGGAGAGCTGGAAAGTTGTTTCAAGTAACTGAAGTGATTTTCTCAATTTATTTTGACCAAAATCACCAAGCTATTAGAAATTAGCTATTAGCATTTGCTGCATGTTAGGTTAGGCTGTTCTTCCCCCACATCCTTTCACCTTACTGACATCCAGAGACAGCTATTTCACTACTCCTACCATCCGGATGGGAAATATGCATATGAAATCCACTATGCCTTTTTAGCTGGCTGTTGCTCCTGACTGCCAGAGTAAGTTGCTTCATCCATGTCAGAATCCCCTCGGTCAGAATATTCCACAGGCTCCACTACCCCAGGCCTTTTATTTTTCGCTCGAGTACTGTCTGATGAGGATCTTTTCTTCTCATTCATTTTAGAAACTCCAGAATGGAAATCACTGTAAAACTGAGGATCCTGCTGGGCTCTGCCACTTGCATGTTTGCCCAAGAAGCTGGTTGGCTGGCTCTGAGACAGGCTGGCACTCTCTGTTCTTGAATCCTGGGAGCTCATGCTTCCATCTCGCTTGCCTCCTGACAAGCCAGACAAACTTCCTGAAACAGGCCTCTGGTGACCACGGGACTGGTTGTGTTCTTCGGAAGAGGACTCTGCCTCATTGTCCTGCACCGATGATGGCCTCCTCAAATAACCCCTGGTTCCATTACTGATATGAGCAGTGTTAGATGATGCTGAAAAACCAGGAGACAAGACAGTCATCAGGAGCTGGTAACATCTTACCTGCAGCATGACACGAATTTCTCAGCTTACAACCACATAAGGTTTTACCTGTTCATATTATGCAGAACACTTTCTGTTTACGCTGCAACTGGTGTGTCCTCACCAAAGGTTACCACAACACACTTCCTCGTTCTGCCTCAGAACACAATTTCAAGCACAGACTAGCTTGCTTACAGAAGTGACTGCAGTTCCGTACCTTTGGATAGCTTGTCCTTGGGCTGAGAGATAACAAGCGTCACATCTTCAGGTGCATTCTCCAGAATTTCCAGTGCTGCATGGTGGCTGACGCCTTCTAAACTCGTGCTGTTTATGGATATTAGTCGGTGTCCTGCACAAAAGGGTTTGTTCAGATACAATCTAACATCTACATTTTTATCCATCAGTGAGAACGTGCAGTACAGGTCTGAAAACCTGTACACAGTGCACAGATTAAAAATTACTAAAATTCAAGTGATGCTGGAATAGGGAACTGTGATAATTAAAAAAAGGCACTAAACCCCAAACCAAACAACAAGAACTGGCCATGAATATTTCCTGTTTTTAAAACCAGCTAAACCTTTCCCTATTATGATTTCTACCTTTTCCTTCTCCTCCCCCACTATACTTATGGGTATAGTATATTGTTACATTCACTATTTCCAAAATAAAAGTACGAATATTGAGTTTTAAAAATTTTAATTTACAAAGCATCTGCAACAGAGACAATAGAAAATAAAGCCCTTACATTTATATGTAAGTTTAATTTTCTGTTACTTCAAGCTTTATCATTTTTACTTACATTTGAATGCTTTTTGGGTTTTTTTTATAGCTTAACAAAGAGTTAGTTTTTCAGAAATTATCTGGAAGATAACTGAAGATCAACATTGTAAGGGACTGTGGCACCCACAGCCACAGGTGATACAGAGGTGTTTGGCCTTTTGCTACATGTGTACACCGTTTGCTATTTACACTATTTACCTGGTTTTAGAGATCCTTCCAAATCAGCTGGCCCTCCAGGAATAACTGAATGAATAAAAATTCCCAGATCAAGTTTCCCTGTCTTCTCTCCACCGACTATCTGAAAGCCTAGGAAAAAAGGCCCAAAGCAGGCAAAAATGTCAGTGATCAAAGTGTAGCTCAAAACGATACAAGTCCGTATTTCAGAGCAGGCAAAAACTTAGTCGTTCTACTACATGTAAAGTAAAACGAAACAATACATCTCAAATTTTAGTCTACATGAAAGTAAACAGCAAAGTCTTTTAATTAAGCTTTATTGCATACTCTGTTTTGAGCAATTGATTCAGACTTTGTCTACCTGGCTGCCCAGGACACTCCAGCAAAGGCTACAGAAAACAACTCTGGCAAGAGATACACGTACAAACAGATGATATGAAATGCACATTTGCTGACCAGATGAAATTTATTTTCTATCACTTAAAAATTTCTGTTTTTCTCCACTGTTAGATGTTTCACATAAATGTTTGAACCTGGTTTCAAGAACTGAGTTTTTCAACGCCTTGTTTTCTTTTTCGGCATCTTATTTATTTCTGTTTATTCTACCAGGAAGTTCAAGATTAAAAAAAAAAAAAAAATTCAAGTCTTCTCTATTTCAGCTAAAACAGTAAAGTACCACAAATTTTGCATGGGGAAGAAAGAAGAGAAACAGTGCATTTCTTCTAAATTTTTTCACTTTTCAGTCAACTCTTAAGTTACTGAGCAGTGGAAACTGTCTTGTAGGCCTTTTTCCCCTCTTCAAATTTACACTGCAGATCTATTCTGAATGACAGACAGAACAATGTCCTTAAGGATACTTTAGAGAGCCTTCCTAAAGCACAATACTGACACCAAATTTTTCATTACTCATACAGGGAAAAATTATGTGGGTTTACGAAAGAAACCTCAGTGGTAGACTAAGGAATGGAATGCAAATGTCTCATCTGCTAGGCTCCTTAAACCTCAAATTCGTGTTCCATCTGATACTATAGGAGTAAGAAAAACACTCCACACTCATAATGGTTTTATTATGTCATTTTTTTTGTTCAGCTGTCACAGTTGTGAGGTGTCCACATAGATAAAATTTGATCTTGAACACAGAGATAAACTTTAAGGGTTAACTTTTAGGATAACTATTTCACAATATAAGTATTATCCTACATTTAAAATATGGAAAAACTGAGAAACAAACTTGCTTAACATCACTAAACAAATCAGCAGCAAGAACCATCAAAAAAGTCCAGCTTTAGCATGTTAAATTGCTTCAAAATCCAGCTACTGTCTGCATGCTTTCCTCAGTCCTACAATAAATATTTAAATACAGACCAGAAAACTTTATTTTGTTTTTGGCTTCAAGAAATACACATCAACAACAATTTTAAAGCCACTTACCTAAGCCAAATTTTTCATCCTTTTTCAAGTTCACCAAAGTGATCTCTCTCTCTGGTGTGGCAACTCTGTTCTGTGTTGTTTGCAGAGAGTCAACTGTAAAGCCAACATTTTGTGATCAGACACTAGCTAAACGCTTCCCTTCGGGTTTACCTTGAAGTTCTTTTCCATTAAAAAAGATTATTTCTCTGATAACCTGAAAAGATGTTTTGATCTAGTGGGTCCAACTTTCATCTTCTAAGCCATGTCCAAATACAGAAAAAAAACTTCTACCACCCTTATAACTCACTCCCACCTTCAGCAGTTAAAATTTTTTATTTCTCTTAAGAGAAGCACCTGGCATAGTCTTATGAAGTGACAATACAACTGAGTCCTAGAATCTTCAAATTTATTATTCTCAGTTCAGCAAAGTGTTTAGATCTGTGTTTATGTGTTCTGCTCAAGTTGGGAGGAGGCAAACACATGGGTAAAAGAAGAAACAGGACACGTGGAACAGTGGAGCATTTTACAAGTGACAAACAAACTGAATGAATTAATTCTACAGGCATATTACTTATCCACTTACCGCTCTCTTTTAGTGTTGCTGATGACAGAAGACTTTCTGAAGTATTCATGCTAACACCTGTGACATGAATGGACACTGTTATCAATTTTTTTTTAAATACAAAACTTACTAAGAAGTATTACAGACTTGCACAGTACAGATGGGCTTGCTCACAGTACCAGATTACTTAATTGAAAAATGAATAAACATAAAAGTAGTTTTGCATTAGCAAATCCAAATTACTCATGTACTTCAGTTGTAGTTCAAGGTTCAGATAGGTGGTAGCTCATGCAAAGGCAATGAATTACAGGAAGGACAGAGGTTTGGCCTTTACAACCGTGATTAACTTCAGATAAAATTAATGGAACTTTAAGCAATGAAGTCAAAAACTGAATTTTCTAACAGTATTGCTGAACCTAATAAACCAACACAACAGGTGTCTTGTAAGATTTCGCAAAGGAACAAATAAGCTGCTGCAGTAACAAGCAACTTGAACTATTTCTATTTAAAATGGTTTGCAAATAGAATCATATTTTCTTTGAAATTATCAATGCCAAGCAAATCTGGCCCTACTTTAGAGAGGATAAAATAATAAATATACCAAGTTATGAAAGTAAATGAGGTAAGGTGATTCAAGCAATTTAGGAAAGCAGTCTTGGCCTTTTCCAAAACTATGAACCCTAAAGTTTCATCTGATGAGTTTCATCACACAATGAATACATGTCCCCCAGCACAGACAGTGTGATTCAGCAGGACTTTCTGAGATGTAGCTAATATCCTTATCAGAACTGCTGTCCAGAAGATTATGGGTAAGCACATGCCAACATTAATTGTAAAACTAAAAGCAACCAGTCACTACAGAAACTGCACGCCTCATCGCACTCTTCAGCAGTTTATGCTCTCAGTACTGAAAAAACATGGTTCCCAAGTCAGTTCTGGTTTAAAGGGCAGTGGGGACAGATGTGGTATGTTACACTCTGCTTTGTTTGCCTTTTTTTTTTTTTTTGAGTTTGTTTATAATGACCACCATTCCCATAAACCTTTCTTCCTCTTTTCCTGTTCTTTAACTACAGCAAAGTAGAACAGCAAGATAAGCCTGCAAATATTTCAGTCATTGTAGTTTCTATTGTTCTAACAAGGGATTCTTCTAGAACCATGCAAACGATGACACACAGATATTAAAAATTATGTTCAGTAAGCCAACATGTTAGTTTTAAACCCACTTAGCTGCTCTGAATCTTTTTCTTTTTCTTTTTTTTAATGTGAACTCTGTATCTTTACTGCCTAGTAAGACTACTTGTGTGCACTCCAATCATCACCAAGAAAACAAGGTAAGTACATCAGGCTTACATCACTACAAAAATGTTTTTGTGCAACACTCAATGCACCGCAAAGAAATTGCACCTAATTCATTACATCTGAACAAAAAAAAACCAAACAAAAACCCTATGCATTTACTGCTCAGAGGTACTAGCCAACATCCAGCTTGCAGCTGAACTGAGTCACTTCAAAAAAATTCACTCCCTACATCCTTTCCACAGAGAACACTAACAGTGTTCAAGCTTGACAAGTAGACTGTGAAGACGAGTAGATTATTAAAAGATCTATACAACCAAATGGCACCTTGAAGTGCCAGAATGGAAGATGTTTTCTGTAATGGCATTTACTGTTAAGTACCAATACTTTGCACACCTGTGGTGTTGAACAAAGGAAGATTTTTTTGATTCACTGGAACAATTACACAGGAACAACAGGTAATTGGCCTGGATTGCTTTAACATGTGATACTCTGTTCTCATTTTCAAATCAAAGTATTACCATTGGTTAATAAATATACCAAAGCATTACACCCAAAGCAATTTTAGAGGTTAGTTAGTAAATACAGTAGTATTATTTTTTGCATGCTGACCTACAACATAGGCTTGACCGGTATCTTCAATGGATGATGAGTCTGATTCATTTTTCTTTCTTTCAGGGCTTCTACTTAAACCTGCATGAGATTTTGAACTTAAAGGGGAGAAGGAGAGAAGGGGAACCAGACAGAGGGAAGAGGAAGTTGGGAGAGGGAAGGATCAATGTAATAAAATAATGGTATGAATAATAAATCAAAACTGATGCAAAATGTACATTGACTGTACACAAAGATACTGCAGGGTGGTCAGAGAGACGCTTACTTGCTCGGTTTTAGTGCTCCTGCTGCTGATCCAGTATCAAATTTTGGCATTTGCTGAAAGACTCTTCCCATTATATGTTCTATTTTTTTAGGGGAAGAGTCCAAAGCAGTAATAATATTTTTCTTTGGGGGGTAAACAGATATGTGACTCTGACTCAGATCGTGAAATGACTTGCTCATAACTCTGGGTCTTTCCTCCCATGGACTCTTCTCATTTTTGTCCCTTGAAGAGCCAGAAAGTGGCTGGAAGAGTGAGAGCTCAGAGCAGGACAGTCTCTTCAGAATCTCTGCTTGAACAGACAGGGGTCGAACAGCAAGGCGGTTCAAAGTGCTGCTGGTCAGGCTGCCAGTACTGATGGCTCGTCCCATGTTGAAACCTTTGACAGAGTCCGCGTGAAGGTTTAGGCTCCTAAATGAAGCCCTTTCTGTGGAAATTGAAAACAAAAAATCAAAACCAAAACCCAACCAATTTTTTATTCAGTAGAGCTAGTGTGACCTCCTTGCGTAAAGCATGCTTTTTAAAAAACCAACTCACACAAAACACATCTTTCCCTAGATGCTTAGAAGTATGGACCATGATCAGACACATGTAAACACCTGCCATGTAGTTTGCTCAGGAAGCAAAGTTTGGAGTTCCTGACACTACACTAACCTGATCGTCTACTGTGCTGAAGTCCAAAAACACAGAATAGCAGGGTATTTATCCCTTTATTAGCATTTATTCCTTTATTAGACTCACATTCCCTGTTCAACTGCTGTGCCCTGCACACAGGCACATGATCTCTTTCCGCAAAACAAATAATACCCTCAGGCCAAGAAGACTATACTTCCATTAACCTGTTCACCTAAGCCTTCTCCAGAATTTGAACAAATAGGGCTCCCCCATCTCCACAGTATCACATTCCACCAAACTTCCATCTATTCATTGCTTAGCTTTCTTCATGAGTCCCTACATATTTACAGCACAGCTGCAAGGTCATGGGGGCCTTAACCATGCCTTATTAAAGAGCATCACTTCACTCGGGTGCACTTGAGGACCTCCCTGCCAGAAACATCCTAAGCCTTCTAGCACAGAACAAAGTTCTGACAGGGCTTTGCCAGACTTTTCGACTCATTAACAAGGATTCCCTTAAGCAGTAGAGAGAGACAGGTTTTGGACTGTAATTAAATTACCATCAGCTGAGCCATGGGAACTGTCTGAGTGGCTGGTCTTAGCTGAAAGTGAATGCAAGATAATACAACTTTGCCTAACCCCCATTTTAATTCAGAGCAAAGCTGAGCAGGGCTCATTTCTATTATCCTAACTGCCCCCTAAGGCTAGCAGTTAAGTTCCTGTGGCTTGGCTCTCACACAGAAACTTGATAACCTGTGGCAACTTGTTGGCTGGTTAGACACTTTAAAGGAAATCAGGCCACCTGAACCCTTCATAAACTTCACTGATGTCTCGGAATCAGTTCACAAGGAAGTCTGAGGAAAGCAATTCCCAGCTGCATACATGTTTCTGATTTAGGATTAACCAGTATTTTCCTTAAACTGTACATACATTTCTGAAATAAGCTGCTCTAGGAAGCTGCACTGAAACTTAAAAGGAAAATATTACTTTTGGTACACATCATCCATTAGCTTTAATGGTAAATACTCTGTCATTCAGGAAAGAGTGCATTTGGCCAATGCAACCTTAGCCCTGCTATTCCAAAAGACATTCCTTCCTCCTATAGCTAGGGCAGGAATTAACAGTAACTAGTAACAGGCATACAGATTGAGCAGATATAGTTGTGGAAGGTATGTTTTTCTCCCTTTTAAAGGTGAATTAGTACACAACTGCCACTTTTTAATCCACACCAGACACCTCCTCTAGCCACAGCCACCAGACTACACCAGCTACAGAAGAATGATTTTCACCAATCAAACCAGAAATCCACGAATTCCAGTTTTCTGACTCAGGCAGAAAGTATCAATAACACCTGCTCTTGCTGTTTTCCCATCCTGGGGAAGAGTACCTTAATAAAATATTCTAAGATCTCTTAACACTGTATTTACCCTCTGTGAACATCAAACAGAATTTCTGTGGATTTCGGATGAATACTTTCACATCATTATCTATACAGACATTAAGGCCTTTCACAGCTTCTGCCGACCCCATAACTGAAAATTTTTATATGCTCAAAACTACCTTCCATAAAGTTGACTTAACCCTCACTTCATTTTTGTGGTTTTCCATACATCCTTTCTGGAACCAAAACACTCATCTTAAAACTCAGTGCTTGATTCTGTTCACTGCATGGCCACAGAAGTTGTGCAAAAAGGAAACCACCATTCCATGCAGTAGTTTATCTTATTTCTTATGTACCATAAAACTGCTAGCATTTTTTTTTCTTTTTTTTTCCCTTTTTTTTTTTTTAATCCTGTGTCTCATCTCCTTCTATTCATGTAGAAAGATTATTCAAGAGGCATTTTCCTTCTATTTTCCAGGTCTAAGTCTTGCTATTATATTTATATGTACTAAAATGGTTTTCCCCCCAGGTCACCAAAGACATTGTGCAACAAGTGAAAAATATGTCATGTAGCCCACAGGGGCTATAAAGGCCTTATGCCTCCATCCTTAGTTATGTTCCATGAAAATTTGTTCACTGTCACTAGGCATGCTAGGCCTTCCTCCTTGTCTCAAAATATTTTCCCCATTCATTGACTGAAATCAAAGTGAGTCTTGCAATACACTGCAATACTGTATTTCTAAATGATCTTTCAAAGAACAATTATCTTCTGTAGTTTGCTCCTCCATCTCTGCAAGGCACATGCCTCTGCAAGGTACATGCTTGTGTTCACTGTACTGTTAACCCAGAATTAGCCCTTAAGTAAGGAACCTTCAAAACATATACTTCCTGTGGTGATCAGTCTTGGGTTAATAATATTGTCACCTGCCCTTTTCTCTACTGTTTTGCTTAGTGCTTCCAACCACCAGCTTTTACTTGCATATTAAGGGCTCTGTAAATAAAAAAACAAAACCTTTGATGTTTCTACAGGCTAGGAATAATGCTTCCCAAATATTGCCTGGGATTTCACTTCTCTAACAAAAGAAAAGCAGCATTTACAATTAATATACTATTTTGACCAGCTGCTTCATCACTGTTTATCATACTATCTGTTTTTTAAGATACTATTCTAGTATCTCTATTGCTATATGCACATCCATATGCAGGAAAGAGAAACATGGCTAATCAACTTAGATCAGTAAAGTTATGACAAAAGAAAATGTTTTGGTTTAGTTGTTTTTACTTTTAATAACCAGTGTAATGGAATTAACCATAATGCTGATTTTTTTGCTTCTGATTATGAATGATTGGTGGAATTTGAGACTTATGAATTCTAGCTGATATGCACTTGCACAGAGGCACTCCCACAGCATAACATCTGTTAAGAGCAACCAAGTCTGCCTAGCTAAGAAAGCCTTTCCCTGCAATTTAGGATAAGCAAACACTAAATCAGAGAACAGTACAACGACTTTAAGTCACTTGGTCTATTTCCCAGCCTGAAGTTGGCTGAGCCAAACAGAACAGAAAAAGGGCTGCATAGCTGCCACATGCTTTTTTCCCCCACCCATCCCTTCTCTGTTTTTAAAATTAGAGATGGCAATATCTGCATCAGTGGGGTCAAACTCCATCCCAGCTACACTGGTGCAAGTCTGGATTACCAGCAACTGGAATGCAGACAGATAAAAACAGGGAACAAAGAAAGAATGAGCAGACAGACTGAACAAAACAGCACTTCCAGACCATGCTGAAGGCCAGCCAGCCAAGTGAGCTCTGCTCCAAACAGTGAAGAAATTAGTACAGCGTTGTTGCTTTTTTCAATCATTACATTCTCTAATTAATATTTTCTACCTAAAAAGAATGTCTTTACATTTTCTATTATACTCACAAATTATGGAGAAAGTGGCAATTATGAAGGAAACTGACGAGTATCAGTGTTGTTCCTTAGTAGGTCCACAAAACATTAAGTGGAATAAAGACAGCTATACCCACAGCTTAGAGATGCAACATCATGAAATGCTTCCAATTTTATCTGCCTTACCATGATCACACCATTTTATCCATAACTCCACACTATCAAACCAATTCATTTCACATTAAGCTAAAGGTAAAAGTCCTGTTATTGAAATATCTTGAAGTGATTTTGGAAAAAAAGGCCATTAATTAAAGGGGAAAGTACTACTAGTGAGCTATTTTCAGATTCCTTTTAGTTTAGAGGAGCTGTTGTGCCAGCTTTTCTGTGTTCTCCCAACTCCTTTCCCAACTCCCCCTAAACAAAATCTCAAACTTAGCTAGTAGAGTCTCTCCATAGTATAAATTCTCCAAATGTAGAGCTACACATATGTAGCACTCAGAATTATTGAAGCTAAGTTCAGCTTTTCTCCTTACAAAAATACATATAGATTGCTATTAAAGACCAACACAGTATTACAGTCCTTACCAATGTCCTGAGTGTCTTGGCTGCTCTGCCTTGTTCTCATTTGTAGCTGGAACTTATGCTGGGAAGAGCAGAGATGCAAAAGGTACTGGCAAGTCTTACTATTGTCAGTCTGAAAGGCATGCTTAATACCATCTGATATGTTCTGCAAAGTTATTTTCTTCTTCTACACAATGGAGAAAGAAAAAAGTTGAAGACAATTATTTCTTTTAGCCTACACAGAATTTTGTATTTGCTTGTGCACATTTACAGCATTCAAACTTTCCTGAAGCAAACGATGCACTGATGGGAGATATTTCTGTTAAAACAGGAGTCGAAAGTAATTTGAGATTTACAAAGTATCTCTTTAAAGCTACTTCTGGGCTAGCTGAGATGGTGCTTTATAATTATTTAATCCGTCTCTGTTACTGTTGGTGCTGAGTAGTGACAACCAGCACTATTACATCTTGCAGGATGGGGTTTTCAAAAGCCCCTGAAGAAGTCACATGGGTTGCTGCCTCAAGAGAAAAAGAACTAGACACTCATCTAATTATGAAATCTATCAGTTAATGTTCCAGGTCTTGAATTTATTTTTTTAGTAATTTTTAAACTTTTTCAATTCTAGTTAAAATCATATGAAACAGGCTTTTCAACAAGGTGTAAGACAGAATTAGAAGTACTGTTTTCAATACCTATAAAAAGGTAAGCATTTGAAGCTCAATGCCTCATTAAAAACTGACACATGATCACCAGATTATGATGCACTCACTGAAGTTGGCTGGTATTGTCCAGATCAAGTGTCAGCCCCTGTTATCTGCATTTAGCTTAAGTACTCCTGGAAATATAACAACTTAAAAGCATCACAGGTACATCTCCTACTTATCCTGAGCAGTGGCTTTTTCCAGTACCCAGTCCTCTAATGCAGGATTCTTAGTTTGGTACTCCTTCACCATCCGTGCCTCACTGAGCAGCATGGGCAGATTGCCCAGAAATGCAGTAAAGGAGCAAAGCTTCTCCCTAAGCTTAGAGTAGCCCTTGATCTATCCTTGTAATAGCTCTTTCCTTAGAAGGCAGGGAAGCCACATTTCACATCAATACAGATTTGCCAAAACACAGGTGTTAAACTCTCTTCTGAGGCTGGAATCTCGGCAGCATGGAATGCAATAGAAAGAAAAAAATCTTTAAAACATCAAAACTCCCATTTCAACACCATAATATAGCAGCCACACAAGATGTAGTATGATTATGCTGTTAGAATGGCAGCTTAATTTGCAAAAACAACAAACAAAGCTCACAGTAAAGGGAGACACAAATACAGACGTGTAGACACAGAGAGAGGAAAAGAGACCAACTTACACTAAAGGATATTTTCTTTGTCTCTCTCCATGGGAAGCGCAGTACAGGTGTACGGGCACCATTGTGAACTTCAAAAATAACAACTCCTTTGCAGCAGACTCCCAGAAGGATACCTGTTTGGGATCTCTTCTCAGGCAACACATGATGAAGGTGAACCCCATATTCTGTGAGCCTCAGACACAACTGTTCGGATCAATGCAATGAAACTTCTATGAGTAAGAAGTTAAGGCCATTACAAGTTTTCATACCTTTGTATAAATATACTTCTCTATAAATATTTTCATGTATACATATATATGCCTGGATTTTAGTAAACTAATTGTTATCAAGAAAGTGTAACTAGCCAGATACACTTGTTATTGCCACATTTTTAAAACACAAAACTAAATTAACATTGCAATTTTGTGATCACATTAAGGTATCATAACTACTAAAAGATGAAGTTTCAATCACTTTGCACGTCCAGTTATTCATTCTCTTCAGTACTGGTGTAAGGGACTGATGCAATGAAAGAAGGGAATCTAACTGCTCCCCCCATCCCACTCCCAGTAACACTGTGTTTTAGCTAGGATCAAGTCCCCTATTCTTGTTCCCTATGGTTAAGTTACAAGAACACTTCTGTAAAATGAGCGACAGGCTTGGAAGGGGTCAGGTCAGCTAAGTGCCTCACGTACTCAAAGAGACTGCTGAAGTACAGTGTGACTGTGGAATTTCAGTGTAGTGGTTATTCGGTGTTTCAGCAGTAAAGCTTCACCCCTGAACTCATTTGCAGTCATTGTATCAAGGTAGAACCTCATTATTATCTCAAAAGTAACAGCAGCAAACTCTACAATTTGATTTCTCAATGGGTCCTTTTAGAATAACCCAAATACATCTTCGATAATAGTTTTCCTATCATCTTACACAGGCCCTACACAAGAAATTCTCCTTGGCAATGCTTCCATGAACAGTATTATCGGTAACAAAACATTTCATTATTTATTTTTTTTTCTCCTCTAAAGAAAGCACAAAAGATACGGGGAATGCAGGTTGTGCTGCCTCATAAACACAGCTTCCTTTAAAGACAAGGATCAATAGTTGCATATAGCTAGCATGAGCTAAAGCATTGAGACTACTGATTGAAAAAAAGTGAGAGAACTTCCCACTTATTACCATTTTTGTGCTTGTTATGATGCGTCTTTTGCAAAAAAAAAAAAAATCTTTTCAGCTTTCTTCCTTTCAGTGTTACTCAGACCTTGAGCTGTTTTCCTGGGCTTTGGCTATCCACGCACCCGTATTCCAAACAGGAAATTCTTAAGTTACAGATTAAGGAAGCAAATTGCTACCCACTTACCTTCAGAAATTCTAACTCAGTCTCTTTTTCAGATGCACCCACATAAGCGCTATGCAATTTTGGCAGCTCTTCCTTGATGTAGGACAGATCTAGTTTCTCCATCACTCTCGCAGGGACGTAGTGTTCTAGTCTGAAATACGACATGCCGTGCACCTACAACATGAAGCAATTTTTTTTTATGACACCTCCATATACTACCCTGTGAGCACAAATGAAGCATAAGCATTCATTTTGACAAAGAACTGTATGATACAAATCATAGGATCAAATGATTCCGAGCAATGGGAGGGAACCAGAATCTCCACCCTGACCGAGAGCTTAACTTCACATCAATTTCTTCATACTCAAGCATGACTCTGCTTCCACTGAAAACAAGGGGTTCAACACCCAGATCTTGAACTAAAGTTTGAAACAACCTGTGTTAGACTGAAAGAACACTTCCTCAAAGTAAAACGTGCCAACAGCATATCAGTTGAGCTTCCAGTCCAGCACAGAGCTGTGACGCATGTGTGGCAGATCACAATCCTTTAATTAAGTAGCAAGATCATAGCTTCAAAGATGAAATGGATGATGTACCTCTGCCTGGTAATCTCCATACTCAGCTTGGAGAGCTAGGGATGCTAATAACAAGGCTGTCTCATCATCACAATGCATCCTGTCTTCTAGGATATCCTTCCGCAGCTGTAGGTAATACTGGTGACAGGTCAGCCTATGCCTAGGACAGGAAAATAAAACAAAAACCATGAAAAAAAACCCCACACTATCTTTGACACTCTTCCTGTTATAGTAAATTTCCAGTACTGATTAATAACCAGTTTATGTCCACAAATTTAGAGCTCAAGGGGCTAAAAAAAAAAATTCATACACTCACTGTATCAGACTGACATCATCCACAAAAAACTTTATGCGAAAAAACAGAGTGAAGTTGACAGGAGGCTTGTTCTTTTTCTTTGCTTCTTCTTTCCATCCTTCTGGAGCTACTTTACTTAGCTTTATGTCAGGATCAACGAAGAAAAATTCGTTGTCTGCCATGAATATTAAAGGGAAGCACATTGGTAAAAACATTAAAACCAAGTATATTTTCCAGTCGGAGGATAAAGAACATATTTATAATTCTAAAACTGGGGTTTGAACAGAAAGGTTTTCTCTTGACTAGCAATGACTTATAAGCACAAAATATATATTATAGAGGCAGAAGACATAATTTTATAGTTATCCCAAAAACATCAGTATGGAAAAAAAAATATTAAGCTACCTTCTATGACAATAGGAGCTAGGGGTTTTTTTTAAATGTACAAGTTCTTATCCCAGAGGAAATCCAAAATCTGTCATTCCTTTCCTCCTGTTCCATTTACATTTCTGCAAAATGTTTAAGAGTACCAGAAGCCTGCCACAGAGTAAGCTTGTGAGCTGCTAATGACTTCTAGGTCATGCCAATATTGTAAAGGCTACAGTTCAACAGCCTGTGAGACAGGCCAACAAGAAACTTGGATTAATTTTCCCAGAATGACCTTCTACCCAATGGGCAAAAAGACCATTCAACTAATAGCAAAAAGTAACAGCTCAGGAGCAACAGAGGCATCTCCCTCTATAGCAGGAGCCCTCCTCCGCATCACAAATTGATTGCCTCCACCAGAGGCTGCAGCATTCCTAGGCTATATTAATAGAACCCAAAGCCCTTTTGTGTCCTCTGAGGTAGGGAGTCTCTGCTCATCTTTTCTCAACACCATGTAGCTAATTCCTCCTTTTCTGTACCTGTCAAATACATCAAACCATTATTCTTACCTCTTAAAGTAGCCAATCCAAAGAAATGATGCTCCACCAAGCCAATATGGGCAACAACCATATCAAAGACATCTTTACATATTGTTTTGGTATCACAGGTCAGCTCCAGCTTCTGCCCACTTAGAAGCATCACATTCACTTTTCGCCTGGTGTCATCACTCTTTCCTTTCTTAGTCTGCATTTTGTGAAATAAAATCTCTCAACATTCATACCTGTGATAAAGCTGCATTTGTTGGTTTCACACTGTCCCCCTGCCATAGATGGCTGAACAGCCCCTTTCTTACCAAGATAGACTTCGGTAGATCCAAGGAGACGAATGGCTCAATTGTCATTTTCACAAACTCTGGGCCAAAGAAATTCTGCAAATCACAAAAGCGTATGAATGAACACTGTGGTGCTGGAACAAGAGGCTGAGGCACACTAACTCCTGCCCTGCAAGTGCAGAAGAGGAACCAAAGTCTGAAATTAGAAAATTGCGCTGAATCCCTTCATTGAAGCGCTAAGCCTAAAGAACATGGTTCTGTCAGCATGAGTGCCAGACACTACGGGCAAGTTACAGTGTCAGTGACATTATTACACTGTATATTTTCCTTCCTTAGCTGAACAAAAACCAAATGCTGTGGTATTTGCCTTCCCTTAAAATACAGGCATGGGTTGTATATTGGGACCATCTGGGCTTATCTCAGTAAGGAACTGCCTGACAGCACAAAGGTTTTCTGGCACTGGTGGCAATTCCAGCTTGACAAATTTCTGCCTGTGACACACAAGTCTCATCTCTTGAAGACTGAAAAGTTTCAGCCTAGTTCTATCTATCAAGTAGACATCCTAGCCAATTTCTGTCTGCCTGCACACAAACAAATGTTCTACTAATTCACCCTATAAACTACAGGAGTGTGGTGGTTTTAATCTAGGCCTTCCCTGGTTACCACTTTGTAACCAAGGAAGGGGCAGTGTTCCCAGTATTCCATACAATTTTTACGTAAATCGTGGTATAAATAAGAGGGGAGGAGCGGCCTTCGTTCCTCTTCTCTTCTGCCGGAGTTCGGGAACAGTGGGTCCCTGCGTTGGTCTCGCTTATCGAAGGCTGAGGCCTGCAGCATCCACTGACCTGCCACATGGAGGTTTGGGGAGTGCTGGCAGTGTCTGCCAATCCTGCTTTCTAAGGGATGTGGTGAGATTTGTTTTACTAGTTATCTTACTAGTTCTCGGGTTTGATTGCGCATATCTATTCAGTGTCCCTTTTTGTTTCCTCTTGTCCCTTTTTCCCCTTTCCCTATCCCTTTGGGGGGTGTTTGAATTCCCGTTTGCTGTGTACATAGCATCTTAACTGTAATATACATAAAATATATTTTTTATATAACTAGCTTGATTTTCGGGTTCTTCAATTTGCATAGTTTTTTTCCTTTGCCCTGGGGGAAGTAGAAAGAGGGGAAGAGAGGGGCTGCTACTGGGGGGTTGGGCATTTGGCAGGGAGCCAAGTCCGAACCATCACAAGGAGGTTATCTGTCCAAACTGCAATAGGAAGTCCTCTACACAATATCCACTTCAATACTACAAGTGGCCCAAGATTCACCTTTTGAGGAAAAACCTTCATTGGCAACTGCCTACTGTGTACCAAATGCAAAACATCTGCACATAAACCTCTTAGGGGTTGGGGGGAAGGGAGGGGAACCAACCTAGTTAATTGAAGCCCACATGAACTAACTCATCAGAATGCTATGGACTGGAGACAGATATAGGAGCTATTACACTGTATTAGGGCAGCAAATCCCTGAGTCTTATTTCAAGTTTTCCCATCCTTATTAAAAAAAAAAAAAATCCAATTCACAGAAAGTAGCAGCAGAGGGCATCAAGCCATCATCTCTTCTATACATCAGGCACTCTATTTACCTATATACCTGTGTCTCCCTCTTTCTCTGTAATCTTATATTTCATTCACGTGCCAAGACAGCTGGGAAAGCAAAGGGGAGTTTGCATGGGGATTCAGGGTGAACCTAAGGGACATAGGACTCTCTCTGTCTTTACCTTCCCAACTTGTTCATTTAATAACCTTTGATGCTGGTGGGACACATCCACATTTCACTGAGAGAAATGTAAATGAAGTGGCTGAAAACACCACAGAATACAGTAGAACCTACACCTTACCTTTGTTAGGATGCTATATTTTTTAATTGATGCAACTGTCAAGCCTTGCTTGATACCACTTTAGGCTCTGCAGCCACTAATGCCACAAAATCTCAGAAGTTTACCCTGTGAGAGCAATCCTTTCCAATCAGGGCAACAACAAACACCTAGTATTTAATCTGATGACTATTTATTACAGGATCCAGCTCATGAATCCCACATACTGGAGTTTCAGTCAAGCTACTGCTCTGTTTCCATTAAAATATGAAGAGTTCACCTGAGATCAGGGCATTACCCTCAGTTTTCTTTGTGTCATGGCTGTTTCCAGGGCTATTTCCCTCAGTGGATCTCTGGTGATGTCGAGCACTGAGGATCTAATTGTATCTCCTGGGTAGAGGTTAGGTCGGGACTGTCTGAGAGCCATTCTAGCCTGCAATTGCATCATTTCTTCTTCCTGACGCTTCAACATCACTTCTTGACTTATTAGTTTGCCTTCGAATGGTGCTTCATGTTGCCTATAGGATAGTCAGAGGGGATGACAGACATTAATAGGTATGTCTAAGACATTCTGCTGTTTTAAGCACATTCCCAAGTGGAAATATGGCACGCAAAAACTAGTTATCAAACAGAATATGGAACACATTTATTCAGCAGCCAGTAGGTTAACCTTGTGCAGCAGTCCATCAATACAGAAATTGAGCAAACATGCGAAGTTCCTAGAGCTGCCTGTCATTTATTCACATGAAAATAAATGCTCAGCTGGAGCGTAAAGAATACTTGACACTACAAACCCAGTGAATCAGGACAACACCAGTTAGCACACAGGAGGAACAAAAATATCAATGCTTTAAAAACATCTTAATTTCTGTGTTCAAGCAGGGACTGTGAAAAAGGCATGTTGAAAAAATATTGTTAAAGAAATAAACTGAAGTGATAAGTGTCCTTTATATTGCTCCAAACACTTTCTGTGTTTGCATGGGCCTGCTATTTATTCTCCAATTTCTCCTGAGCAGTAGTATAGTTTGAAATATTTACATAAATATTTCATATGTATTAACATTCTATATACTAAATTATTCTAAATATCATCTTCTAATGTTTTCATCATCTTGTTTAAAATAGTTCCTTTTCTTTTAAATTCCCAAGAATGGCCTGGTTGATAAACAGTCACCACAAAGACTAATTCAGAATCTAAATTAATAATCTGAAGGAAAAGACAAGAAAAAAACTAACAAAAACTGAATCAGTATTCCGGAAAAACACAGCAACTTATCCTCAAGTTCTTTTTTTAACAGGTATGAATCTAAACATCCTATCAGTTTTCTTCTCTATGGAAGGAAAGAATTTCATGTCCCATTTTCGGTGAACAAAAGCTGGTTTTATTTGAAAAATTAAGAAGGTGATTAGGAAATGAGAAGAACAGAGAAACCCAAGCAATTCTAAGATCAGTGTTTAGCGTACATCTAAACTGAGTAATGAAAAACATGAAAAGGCAAAGAAAATGTTTAGAAGCCTGCATATCATTGCATTTTAGTTGAGAAATACATATAAATTTAGAGTAAGCGATACTGACATACAGTCCTTTATAGTAAGGCAATCTACAGACTTATATAACCCACTTTTCAATTTAGATACCTAGTTTTCAGAAGAACCTAAAGATATGATTGATGAATGAGAAATCAGTTAATAAACCTGTCCAGATAGAAGAGTTTTCTATGCTTGGTGGATATGATTTCAAATTTTATTTTCATCTTTTTACAAAGTTACTAATGAATACCTGTATTATGAACAGTGTACCACCTTCTATCTTTTTTTTTTTTTTTTAATACTGAAGTGTCATTAGTTAGCATGTAAAACCAGCAATAAAATAAGAAATATACAAGAAGAGAATGATGCTTAAATTTCTCAAATGAAGTTTCAGGGAAGATACAGAGTAATTAAAGAAAAATGTATCAATGTAAGCCCACTATTCTTTCCATTGTGCAGAGCTTTCACAGCATTGTTTCCCTTCTCCCTACTCTGTTTCTTTCTAGAACAGACTTAATCAACATGCACCTAAAAGGACAAAGTAATGAGAAAAGGTCTCAGATCTGCTAAGACATGTGCACATGCTTAGCTTTTCATCATGAGGAAACTTATTAGGATTGACATATGGGAATACTGACAATGAACCAAGTTAAATACACCCACAAGAGCCCTTCAGACCAAGATCTAAGGATGGGCTCTGAAATAAAACAAAAACAAACACTTTCTGAACCTAAATATATATGAATTAACAAAGACTATAAGAAAAAGAAAGACATGTTGCAACTGGCTCTATCTGAAAACGCTACTGTGAAAACACCTACTGCAGAAAAAAAATCTTGCCTTTTTAATAACATACAGCTCTGTGCAACAGAGGGAATGAAAAGTTTTTGTCATTAGGTTGGTTTTATTATCTTTGTTGACATGTATTAATTTCTTTGAAAATTGGAATGTGTGTGGGGTGTCCACGGAGGGAGATCAAAAACCTAATAGCTTAAAATTCTACCTAACTTAGCACTATCACCAACCATAAATCAGCACCCATCAGCATCCTTGGTAAGTAAAATTTACTCTGCCTTGGTCAGACTGCCAGTTTTCTATGGGGGGTTACAGCATGATTCACTCTTTAGGTTCCAAGACAAGGAATGCATCTTTCACACAGAACAGGAAATACTGTTGACATATACAGGTAGAGCTCTTCTGAGAAGTTCGGAATATGCAAGTATTATTACTCCAACAGCAACAACAAAGTCTAAATTACATTCTTAGCAGATGACATCATAAGAGTGTGTTTTGCACGGTGCTTCATCGGACAAGTACTTGGCTGCTACTCTATTTTCAGCAGTGTCTGACTACAAACCAGATCCTCACAGTTACTTATTAACCTGAAGATGGTAGGGGAACAGTCACCCGGAAGGCTGATGCCTTTAAAGAAGGGAAGAGAATTATCTCTTTCCCTAGTGTACTTACCAAGAAATTAGCAGGCATTGGATCAGAGAAGGAAGTTAGAAGAAGGGAAGCAGGTAGGCCCTCTCTAATGATTAGTGAAGTGGAAAGGTCAGGAATGGACTGAGAAAGACGGATGTCTTTCGGTAAGGTAGGAAGGATATGAAAATGAAGTCTACTGGAAGGAAAAGGCGACAGAAGGAAGATATCCATGTCAGCTGCTGCTCCTAGGGAGAAAAAGGAAGAAACAGTAAAGGAAGAAAAAGAAAAAAAAAAGGAAAAAAATAAAAGGAAAAAAATAAGGAATACAAGAAGCAAAGAGGAAACAAGAAACGAGCCATTGCCACAAGGAATGCATTCCAATAAGTTTAAAGGATAACAACAGTCATGAGAAGGGTCTGAACATTTATGACTTCTGCCACTTTAAGAGCAGGTCACCCCTCCAAAACAGCACAAGGTGCACTGGCTGATAACTGAACATCTTCACTGCTGTTTTTTAAGATTCCCTCAAATACAAATCCCCCTATTTGATTTACAACTCAATTTTATAAGGATAATTCTGTGGATAATTATGCAGACTGACTAAGAACATATCACAGAATCAGAAAAATTAGTATGTACTGAAATACAGATGATATCTCTCTAATACAGAGTAAAACACTGAGATGTGCACAGAGGGGAGGACAAGCAGAAACAGGAGATTCAAAAAAATACCAAGCTTTAAAATAAGACTGTATAGTTACATAAATGTAAAATTCATTCTGTTACTAAGCACTACAGGTCAGTCTATGCTACAGTTGCAAACAAAGATTTTCCTTCTAGATTTCACATGTATACAGATTATGTCCATTAAAGATACCAGTCTCAACAGAGTAATAAAAAATAATGTGAAACAAACCATGAGAAACTATGTACTGTTTTACCTTGGCATTTTCACTCCCACAGTAGGTCCAATTCATTTACAGCAATTACTCATTTACAATGTTACTCATTTACATACCACATACTACTTTCTGTTTCTGAAATATTTTGTAAATAGAAACAAAAGTTCTCTATCAGCATCCACAAATTACTGCTGTTTTATTTTAAAGCACAGCTACAGTGCTGAGGGGGCAATTTCCTGGGTTCAAGGCAAAGCGGAATGAAGGTTGACTTGGGAGTTTTCATTTTCATCAAAAGAAAAAAAAACCCAACAATGACAAGTAATTTAAGAAAGCTACATGCCCATGCTGTACATACAGTAGTAATAGTCTGCCTTGTCATTTTAGAGTGGTGCTAAGACAGCATAAAGCACCAAGTAGAAATGCACAGTTCTTGAACAGAGTTACGTGGCTTACATGGGATACACCAGTATCACACCCCCTTGAAAGTCTGCCCTAAAAGCACATATATAACCAAAATCCTCTTATGTGAAGGCAGGATGGATTTCTAAGACTGCTTGGACACTGCAGATTAACACATATGGCGTTACATGGATAGATACCATATTCCTGACAACAAACCGATATGGACTTATTAAGCAATAGTTCTTCCCTGCAAGAAATGCCAATATGTACATTTCTAGACTACTTTGCATTTCTCAGGCAAAGTGCAAGCAATAAGAAAACAAATAAGCATAAACCAATGCATCAGATAACTGAAAGCTGTAAGATTTCTGAGTAACTGTTTACTTGTTCACCTGCAGTGAGATACAGTTCATTTGAGACCCTGCCCTACTCAGATCCATTTATGGCACACAATGTAATGTAAGAAGCAGATATTCATTTACTCCCATCTCCATGTTCAAAGCATGGTTCTAAGCCCTATTCACTGCACATCATCCTATGTGTTAAATGAACACGGAGAACACATTCACCAGCCTTGCCATATCACCTGACACAGCTCCAATCTTCAAATGTCTCCAGGCTTCTTTAATAGCATAGAGCACCATTCCCCTCCAACTTATGCCAAAAATATCCTAAAATATCAAGCACAGCAGCAATCTTTCTCTTGATCTACAGTATATAAAGCAAAAAGTTGCCTGTTGTTATAACGTGATGAGGGAAGAGGGGAAGAAAGAAATGTGTCTTTATTTTTTTCCCCTTACTGCAAAAATAACTTGCATCATTTTGACATGATATTCCAAGGTGATTAGGTATCTTGCAGAGACCAGAAGAAAATTTTGCATCCAAAAGGTCAATGTCAATAAAAATTCTCAAACCTTTAGAATGAAACCACTCTCAAAACATAACAAGTATGGCAAGATATGCTTCTGCTGTAAAAAGGCATTGCATTAAGGTGATGTTCAAAGCAGAACCTACCTTTTAAAGCTGTATGGATGAACAGCACTTGAAAAAATAAAACCTCAAAAGATGTGATATTTGAATACACAGTACAGCCAAGCAATTTTCAAAAAGAATGAACTATTACAGAAATGGCCTGCCTAATCAGTGCTGAGGTATTAAAAAAAATTAATGCAAACACAAAAACGTAAACTAAGGAGTTCACCAGAATAACCAACCAAATGTTGACTTATTTCAAAGAAATAAACATGTTATCATTTCCTTATTAAATGAAAGAAATGCAAGTTAATCTGTATTAATATCAATACTTTCTAGAAATTTATTTTGGAAAACTGAGCAATGAAAAATAGTTATTTTTTATTTAATAAAAATATTATTAAAAATTATTTACAATGAAAAAATAATTAAATATTTCCAAGCAGACCATAGTCCCTGCTCTTCTGACAGATATAATGATTTGATAAGAGTTCAACCCAGTCTCCCATAAATGTGGACATTGAATCTGGACTCCTAACTTACCTCTACATCGCAGTGCATCATGAGACTTTTACTTCAGAATGCAGTATATAATTCTAAAATGCTATTTTTAATCCAGTACAACGTGCCATTTTTTTAACCTTAAACAGAAGCTGAGACTGGAGTGAAAAACTTCACTTGCAGATTTAGAATACATTCTTTGATAAAGACAGAGCACTTCAAGACATATTGTTTTCACAGGGTTTACCTTGCTCTCTGAGAATTAGCTTGACTTGATGTGGAGATTTCATCAGCACCTGATAACACACCACTGGCATCATCTCTCTTGAAGCCTTCATTTCTTCTCACTAAAAAAACAAAAGACAAATTAATGCCTGACTGACAACAAAGTACACAGCGTAATCCCATTCAAAAATCAAGGGCTTTTCAGTCATATGAGATTGCTTAGAAGAAATCAAATTTACTTGTTCTACACAATAGCATTACAGTATCCAAAAAAACCAACTTGATTTCAGTTTTCAAGGCTATCTTACAGTTTTCCCCCAACAGAAGTAGCTGATAGTCCTTTGAAGAAGAATACTAAGGAAGGCCTAAAAGAAATCACAATTAAAACACCATCCCCACGATTGCTTGGACACCTTCCCAAAGTAACACATTTCTTCATCAGCCATGAGTTGAGACACATACATGGCAGAGACATCATACAAACCACTCCAGCACAGAAAGAGAGCAGCTAATTCATTACGCATCCAGTTCACAAGATGGGAGGTAAGAAACCAGTCACTGAAGTCCTGATTTTTATCCCTGGAATCTTTAGTAGGCAAATTTCTTTTGGCAAAATACTAACCTGTGATTCTCTTTGTAAGATTTATCTTCTTTGCTGGCACATCTTCCTGTAGTAGCACCTGAGATGCTACACTTAGAGCTTGATTTTGCAAACTACTACTCTTCATCTCTTACTGTACCCCCAATAAACAGAGCTGGCAGGAGAGCTCTTGCAGAACACACTACAGGCACACTGACTTAGAAGTAGGTTGTTTTGACAGTCATTTAACTGAGTTCAGAAATACTACTACTGGTAGCCAGAAAGGAGCTTTATCTTGCTGGTAAAACTTAGGAATTGTTGACTTTGGACTGGAACACAAAAACAATCTGTTCTAAATGACAAGCAAGTGAAAGGAAATGCATTACAGGAGCCTCAATACTTGTTACTGCTCCTCATGCTTCTGACTCAGTAAGCAGAAGGATAGACAATCACAAAGAAGGTTGAGAGCGCAGTGAGTACAGGGAGGCTGGGCTAGAATTCCATGCATACGGAATACATACAGTGCAGCTATACTCTAGCTGCCTATCTATTGTTTTCTTTCCTAATTTTTCACAAAATGATTTGCCTCCATTATTTATAATGATTCACGAAGATGGTTTTTCCTGCCATATATGAGTGAACAACCCTTTGCACCATTTACTGCTTTTCCAAGCCACTGATTTAATAGAAATTACTTACATTTGCCATACTAACAGCATGTAGTTTTAAAAAAGCACTCTACTAAATAAGTTAACCATTTTTAGCTTTTCCTACCAAGTTCCCTCTCAGAGTGCTAAATGTCAAAGTCATTTCTGAACAGATTGACAATTATGCTGATCTGTCCATAATGTTGTAATTATATCATCTTACAACTTTGTATCAGTGGTAATTATCAAGCCTCCTACTAAAGACTGAATTTCATACTGTTGGGGTCTGGTTTTCATCTCCAACTTTTTTTCTTTAGGTTTTTTGTTTGCCTATTTGCTTGGTTTGGTGGGGTTTTTTTCCTTTTTTTTAAACATAGGTCTTACCTTGCCTGAAATCTGGTTCTGAAGAAATAACTGATGGACTTTCACTCGAAGTACTATAAACGTCGCTGTGATAAGATTTGTACCTTCTCAAAGGCTCTGAAAGTTTAAATCAGGGTATCAGAAATGCAAAAATCAAACACAAACAAACATTTGAGTTTTTAAAAAATATTTTCAAAATGTTAAAATGCCCATCTGTGGCCATGGAGTCTAAAAGCAAACACTCAGTGGATGCTGTGCAGCCCCATTCTGTCCCCATGGCCTGAGGGTTCTGTGGTCTGCCTCTTGTCTATCCCAACAAAGTCAATTCCTCAGAACTTCTCTCTCATCATCACCTCAAAGTTTAAACTAATATTAAAAAAAAAACAACTACAAAACCCAACAAAAAACCTGACCCCTCCTGCAAACAAAACTAATGTAAACACTTGACGCACATCTCCCATGTGTAAAGCACCTCCCTTGTGTAAAGCAACTACCATGACTTGGTGCCTGGTTCCTTCATGATGTAAAAAAGAAAAATATCCACACAGACAAAGCAGGCACTGGAAAATTAATATTCAGCTCATCTTTGACATCCACAAAATAGGATTAACAATCATATAGTAAACCCCTAGGGGGTATTTAATTAACCAGAACAGCTAAACTCATGTGATGAGAAATCAATACAGCAGTCTCAGTTCCTACTCTCAGGGAATTATTTAAATAACATACTGGAGCACAGGATTCCACAGAAGGGGAGTATTTACTTGAGATCTGCAACAGTCTGCCAGAACTTTCCTATGCACAAGCCAACAAACAACCAAAAAACGTGCATAAAAGCAGAACACAAAACAACATCTACGTCTTCAGAATACCAGTGTTTCACTGTCAAAGTAAGAGAAAACTTCTGGTGTCTTTCTTTGTGGAAGGCTATTTCTAGTTTATTTCTTGTTAAAGTTTTTGAAAACAAAAATGATGAGAAAGAGAAAAACCCATGTAACTGCTGTGAAAACAAGTGTGAGTCACTATAACAAGGACATACAATGCAGGAATACAAAATGGGGAATACGTGAGCAGGTATATCTGGAGGCTGCAAAAAAGGAAACTGAAGCTCCAATTTCCCACATCCAGAAAACAAAAGCCTGGTGAAAAATTCTGAGAGAACAATAAACCTGCAGCATAACTTCTGTTAGGTCAGAGAACAAGTTAGTCAACAACATTACTCATTTAGACTTCCTACAGAAGCAGGAAAAATTCCAAATGGGAAAAAAGCATTAACAGATTATAAGATAATGCAGTGGAACAAGACTGGAGACTGGTTCATGTTCATTTTGGACTATCTGTTTTCAAAACCTTCCTCCTCAACAGCCAAGATCAGCTCACTTGGGCTAAGTAAGCAAAGTTGCCAATGAACTCACGAAACCAACAGTTCCCACCAGCCCACCCCAGTTGCACAGTTTAGCAGCATAAAACCCAATTAACATTTCTCATTATTCTCAGAAGTAAGCAATATGGTTTGCACATAAGCAAACTACTCTACAGCAAGATGAAGAGAATTCACGGGTGGAGTGGTGTGTGAAGCTGCTTCAATCTTTCACAATGGCTACTTTCAGCATTCTGGATATTACAACAAAGAAATCTACCCCCAGTCTAGCAATTACTTGCAGTCTAGCAATTACTTGCCTAACAGGGGAAATAAAAACCAAATTCAGTGGGTAGCTTTTGGAGATTTATTTTTAAACTGTTCCCAGCCCTTTAAGTGAGGCATCAATCCAAACACGATACTGGGGCTACAATACCAAAACATTTAACTAGAACCAGATCTCTCATTTCCCAGTAGTTTTATTAGCTGTAGGTTTTTCAAGTCTGCTGAACTAACTTTGAAGCAAGATGATGGAAAGGGAACAATAAAATATGACATGAGTCTTTAAACAGATTTATTTTTTTCCACTTAGTCAGCAGTCTAGGCTTCTCAAATTGCACAGAAATTATGGCTACATTCTGGTTCTTCGAGACATTAAATTTTGGGAAAAAAAAAAAAAAGTAATGTGGTAAAAGAGAAATATGCACTTAAAACATGAGACAAGTGCTTGTATGTGGTGGTGTGATACGTGACTCTGCAGGGTATTTGACTTCCCTTGACTCACGCTGTTAGCAGGAGCTAGCGCCCTGCTGCAGGCGAAGGAGCAAGTCCATGAGCCAAGAAACATAAAGCAAGATTTCCAATAGCTGTTTATCCCACTGTTTTCAAAGACCTCCACCGAAGTCCTAGCTAGGCTCAAACCTGTCATCCCAGCATTCACAAGGAGAGGACCACCCTCCTGTCTTGTCGCATCCTTCTCCCTAATCAAGACCATACAACTTAACCCATTAATACAAGCAAAGGTATTCTTCTCATCTGCTTGAGGGAGGCGTTGTACAACCTTTCCATGCAGGGCTGCACTGATGACTATCAAGCAAAATTTATCAGCAATTTAGAAGACACATCCTGAAATTCCATGTAAATTCTCTGGATTTTTCTTCACTTTGTTCAGTGTAGACAAAATATATACAGATGTGAACTGTTTGCTACTGGGACTTCTCTTTGGTAACTGCCTTCCAGTTTTTTGCTGGTCTTTGTACACCCCCTAAACATCCCCCCAGCACTGTACTTCCTCTTAACCAAACAATCTTTTCTAGGGCATGGACAGAATATGCACTTGCAGACCTGCAAATACTCAATTAAAATGTAAATATTGAGACTATTTTATCTATAATGCTCACAAAGTTACCCAAATAATTTATGCTCTCTCGTCTCCTCCCAGCAAGTTCTCCTCAATTCTAACATATTATATTAGGATTTAACTTCAAAGAAGGCACTTGAATCACGTCCAAGTTAAACTTCTAAGTAAGAATTGGCTTTTCCAAGGGTCACAAAAGTACAATTCTGGGATGAAATTAAAGTCAAGCTTTTGATACAGAAGTTTCAAAAATGAGGACAAACTTCTAGCGTGTCTTGCTGGGAAGAAGCTGCAAGACAATGTCAACAAAAGCTAAAGACAACAATAAAACAACTTATCTCCCATATTTAAAATTTTCCCTGAGAATTTTGAATGCTCTTGGTTTGTTATCTTGGTTTCTTGTCTGTTTGGGTTTTCTTCAATTTCTGGTGACTGAAGTGAGACTGCAGAATTGATTTAACTTCCATAAACATCAAGCACATTGTAGCAAAAACAACTCTATCAGTTATCCTTCTTAACACTTCAGTGTTTAGATTATAGTCTCTTAGTGTACTTTGAACCATTTCATACTTCAGTGCAAAATGAAACCTGAGTTTAAGCATGTTTTAAGAGTCTGTAACTAAATAAATATATAAAACTTGTACTAATAATCTAAGTTAACATGTGGTAGCACCACGACACAAAGGTAAATGAAGCATTACAGCTTGAAGAATCTGTTTTTGTGCTGCTTGGTGCTGCAGTGGTGTTTTTATTCAAACTCCCTATAAAAAGCAGCAGAGCACAACCCTACAGGCACTTCACGCAGCACAAAATAACAAAACACACTATTTACACAGGGCGAGACATGCAAGCCCAGACAAATAATTTACAGAAAGCCTCATCTCAGCCAACTTCAACAGAAATCAGAGAACTACATTTAGCCTGGAATTTCATTATCCTGAACATGAGTCACATTAGATACCCAGGTTTTCAAATACACATCATTACAGAATTATTACTGGCTGCACAGAGAAGGCGGAAGAATTAAACTGACAGTTTCATGACAGGGAGGGAGCTCTTGTGTGCCCTTTGGGGCACTGGTGGGTGTCTCTATTACAAGAGAGTGTACTACAATACCATTTAAAACACATTAAATATCCCCTAGGAGAGGCTGGGACTTGCTTCTTTCCCAAGAGTTTAATCAATTTTCCTTTTCTTTTCCTCTTTTCATATAAGAAAACTTGAATTATGCAAGGCAGCATAGGTTTAACAGGAAGAACATAGGAGATCCAGATCAAATCCCTGGTAAGGATTCACATCCAACAACTGTCAAAGGTGACAGATCCAATAAGCCTCCCAGGGGAGCATTTTAACCTGCAAGGTTTCCACCACCCATATTCTAAATGAAAAAGCTGTATTCCCCATGCAACCCAAGTCACCAGCTACCCAGGCAAATCTCCAGAGAGCCTAATGGACATCTGATGCAGAGGGCCGGGCAGGAGCTGATCTACAGAGAGACATGTAGCCTTGTAAAACCGCGGAAAACACACATCTCTAGTGGTAGGCTGAAAAGGAAAACAGCAAGATTAACAACAGCTCCAGGGTTTGGTAAGAACTCAGGGTCCTGTACTCAGGAAGATACTCTTCTTTTCTGGATCTGGATCATGCCATCTAGGCTAAGGTATGTAAATAAACACAGGCACAACCTGAGTGTTTGTCCCATTAAGTTGTTTGCCTGTTTTAATTTAAATGTTTTATCCAACTGAGAATGTAATGTTTTGACTAAGAATTGATAATCCCAGACTGTGTGAGCTGCTGAAAGCTTGACAGATGAGATAAAACGGATGCCACTCTGCTGTGCAATTATGGAATGGTCAGAGCTGTTTTACTACCTAATGTTAAGCTATGTAATTCAGAACAAAATAACAGTGGCTGATGCCAGAGTACTTATATTTTAGAGAAATCCCACAAACATCTTTGTTTTTCCTTGAAAAGCCAATTGCTGTTGTCCCAGTAAAATTACAACTGAAGTTTTCCATCTGAAACAGTATCAGTCCATTATCCTACCTCTACTATTCATTAATATGATTTCTGAATACCTGAACCTTATCCTTATGCCAACTACATGAGAATCCATTGTGGCACCATTGAATTTAAATCACACTGCAGCACAATGATCCTGAAACACGTGCAAACTGCACCTTCGTTTGCTTTCACATGCAAACAGATGTATCACTGTGGATGACTTGCATGGCCCACACGTGAACTGAGTACATTCAATTCAAGAGAAAAAAGAAGGTTATGCATACTTTATTGAATTCACAGCAGTAAGTTTGTAGAGCTGCTATTCCTTTTTTGTTCTAAATCCACTCTCCCACTTAACCCTCTTCTTCAGACGCTCCCAAATTCAAATCTCTGGGGCTTAATTTGCTGGGATAAATTTGCTACCAACAGCTGCCTGCTTACCTGCAGACATTTTTTCTTGTTCCAATATGCAACTTTAAACTAAGAGAGCTTTTAAAACCCAGGCATTTAGAGTATCCTTAGCTGTAACTTTCCCAGCTTAACACAGGCTGTCGTAATATGGAAGTTTTATGAATGGGGTCCAGATGAGTCTTCAAGGTAGCTAATGAAAACAGTTTTGTGAGATAAAGACACAGAAGACTTAAGAGGCAGAGACCCATCTCTAGAAACATGGAATATTACTGCCTCTTCTTGCTGACTGTATGAACCAAGAGCAGTTAAGTGGACAAAAACCCCAAAATCTGAGGACTTAATAATTTCAGTGGGAAAAAAAATAAAGGTAAAAAGAAAGGAATAAACACAATTTGAGGCTCTAGAATTCACCTGGTCCCCAACTGCAAAAACATTTAACAAAGGCTTGAGAGTATTACCAAACTACCCTATTCCCCCACTCCTGGATTCAGCATTCCAGAGCTTCAGCAAGATAAGTTTTTTTGGTATCCTGCAATCTTTTTTCACCCTGTCTGCTATTTCAACCTACAGCCAACTACATTACTAGTCTCCCAACTGGTTCTGTGCTCCTGTGTCCCACCAGAATTGAAAAAAAAAAAAAAAAAGAAACTCATTCACTCAACATATAAACCCATTCACTTTTAATTATGCATACACTCAAAACAAGGGTAGGGGGAGCTGCCTAAGCAAAAGGAGAGATTCATACAAGGCTCTCATCTCACAGCCTTACTATAGTGCCATTTGAAGGTAGGTCTGAGACAAACAAGGAATCACTTTTGTGGGTGAAAAGGCAAAGAAAGCTGGAGCAAGGGAGAACAGATGACACTTTCATGCTCTTGAGGGACAAGGCAGGCTTGCAAAATGTGAAAGGTAGAATATTATTTTCTCTCTGAAACAGGACACTATCAGCTGATGCCAAGTAACAATTTCCTAGTTTCAAAAGAACAACAAAAACAAAACCTGCTCTCCCAATAAGGTCAACTGCTTGGGTTTAACACCTAACAACTTCACAACTCTAAACAATTCTGTCCAATCTCGCAAAACCTCCATAACAAAACAAGAGTGAACAAAACCACGAAGATGCAGAACTTACTTCCCCATCTCTTGGCAAGGTTAACAAACACTTCTGGAGTCTGTTCTTAGTGATCAGAATTGGCTATACCTGAAATCAAACAGCAGGCTCTTTCCCTTGCCTCTATCTGGCTACGTAGCACCTAATCATAAACAATCATCTTCAATAGACTAGAGATAAACAATCTCAAGCCTGAAACTGTACAGCAGATTGACATAAAACAGCAAGTTCAAGAGCAAGGCAGTTGCAATGACATTGTCTTTGGAATGCTTGCGAGGCTAAATCTGAGATGTTCAGACAGCAGATTATAGTGCACTTTAGATGGTCTGCAGCTCACTACAAAGTACTACAGCACAGGTGTAATTAAAGCTGTCATTCTTTCCACTATAAACTCTGCTTTTTCACGCGTTTATAATTTGTATTGTAAAAATCTGTTCTGAGTGAAAGCTTGGCAAACCAGAGCCTGTGCATAAGAAGATTTTCTTTTTCCAAGGCAGTCAGCTCCTTAAGGTTTTACAAATAACAAAAAAGTTTGCCAGCTTAACCCAAAATAAGTTAAAGAAAAATAAGCCACGTGTCACTTATATTCCTTTGTAGTTTGAGGGTAGTTTTATCTGGCCAAGTTCAACCCACAGAGAGTCCAATGTCATTTAACAATCCAAACCAGAAAAACAACGTACAGCCAAAAGCAGAAGCTTAATACAATTTACACAGGCTTAATTGTGACCTAGACCTGGGCTGAAGTGAACTGAAAATATCCCCAGACCTACCAAAAAGAAGGGTGACTGTGTCCTCTCTACTACACTCAACCATAAATAACCCTGTTTTCCGTGACTCCTTGCTCATTCCTCCCCCTCCAAACTAAACTGAACCCTCACTCCAAACTACGCTCACTACTACACTTACAAAATAACTTACTCTCCTTCTCCGTTTTTCCTTTCCGTATCCCTTGTTTGAGGTCATGCTGTAGACACAGAGAAAGAATAACATTTGCTGTCATTTTCTATGGACTTCTTTCCACTCTCTTTCTGTTCATGCCCCGCTATCTGCTATGTGACCACATCTGTTATGTGACTACCTATGTAGGTAGTAGCATACTCTTGCATCAAGTACTGTCCAAGAAATTACCACCACTACCTTTATCAAGACAGGTGACATAGTTTACACCACAGCTTTCCACATCATTGCTCATATCTCTCAGCTAGGTTGGGTTTATGTCAGAAGAGCAATTTCACACACACTTGACACTGTCTGACACGTGGAAATATCTTTGTATCTACTAAATGCTTCAAAACCGCATACAACAGCAATGCACAAAAAAACTCAAGACTATATTTTTTTATTTCTTTGACAGATGAAACTAGCAACAGACTCTTTATAGAAGATCTCAAGGGACTTGTCTGTTGTTAAGAAAATGTGAGATAAGGAATGATAAAACACGGAACAAAAAAAGGAAAATGAAAGGGAAAGAAGTCTTACTAGACTAACAGACTTTATGTATTAAGATTTTATGAATCTGCTCACTAAGGCAGAACAGATACTTCCAGTCAGGCTTCTCAAGCCCTATAAAATATAATAGCAACTAATTCCTATGTGAAAAAAGTATTCATCATCCATCTTACTAAAATACTCCTTTAAACTGACTCTCATTAAAAGTTCACATTCACAACTAAGTTCTGGTCCCAGACTTTTCTTTAAGTAGTTACCTGACCAAAAACACCCTGACAATGGAGAGCCTAAAATAAAATAGTAAAGCATGCAATCCTAACATCAATTTAAGAGTGAAACATATGTACCTTTTCTGAAAGTAGAAAACTCTGAAACCCAGCTATCTGCAGCAAAAATGTCTTTGTTTTTTTCTGTGAATTCAGAAGGATGGGCAGTGAGTCATTAGCTATTGTCTCAATCTTCCGTGTATTGATTTGTCACTCAGGTTCTGTGACTATTAAATCCCAGTTCTCAGTTTACTTTGAGTGCACTTTCACCCATTCCCTTTATGAATCGAGAAGTTTCATACACTCGACCTATCTCAGTTTGCAAGGCACGGGCATGTTATGTTCTCTGCCATCTCCCAATCTGCTTGAATGAGAATGATAAACCCATTGCTCATCACTGGGTTTGGCCACACTTTTGGTTTTGCTCTTGTGCAACACAAACCTGCACAAAGCTGCGCTCCTGAACAACAAGGCTATTGAGCTTTCCCAATGCTGGGAGTGGCCTCCTCCTAAACTTTGTCAGCTGCTTATTTCCAGCTCTCGGAGTTGACTCATATACTTGAGACGGTCCCCTTTGATTCTAGACTCTTATACCAAAACCCAACCAACCCTCCCTGTACCTCATCAGACATCTCGGTAGATAACAACAGATGGCAATTTATAGAGATAAACAACAGTATCTCCACAGTGCTGCTTTCACCTGTGTTCATTCCTTCACATGATAACACAACTCTCATTGGCAGATGCTAATTTGATAGCACGAAAGAACTTCAGCTGTACAGAAATCACAGCAGCTTTTTCAACTGCCTATGCCATATCAGTAACACTCCTCCTTTCTGGAGCAAAAGGCTCACATGCATAGGAAAGAACTAGCCTGTCATACTAATCGCAGTACAAGCATCTCCCAAGGTGGCCACAAAGGGCATAAGCAGGCATTTTTAGAAATTCAACCTTGACAAAAGGCTTTATCATCTCTCCTCAATAAGGAGGTGTTTACACCTCAGGCAGAAAAAGGAGGCCAAGGTAGGGTGTGTTTTCACACAGTTATTTCTAATGCAAACCGGGCAGGTAGTCATGGGTTTTCAAACATACGGATTTTTGAATAAGTGACTGACCTAGCCCTGTACATACAGCTTTTATACCATACACCTTAGATGATCAAGTTATGCTTTTTGGTAGCAGGATCCAGCTCTGCTCTCAGCTTCTATCCAATGGTCTCAAACTTACAACCCCTGCAAATCACATCACATTTCCAAAGCAAACAAAACACGCAGTTCCACTTACAGGGTTCTGCATAAAGGTAATTTTATAAGTTGCACAGAACTTATAAAACGAAATTTGTAAAAAAGAAAGTTGTTACACAGAACAACTACAAATACTTGTTTTTTCCCCTGCATTCTTGTCATGAACTGATGGAACTTGTTGTCAAGTATTCCCACTTAAGTAAAGACCCATGAGGCCCCCCAAAAAATTCAAATTTAAGGGCTTAAGTCCAGAGATATACAGCACAAAACCTGAGAGATCTGGAGGTGAAACTCTGCCTTTCCTCTGGAGCATAAGTTCATCACTAACAACATTTGACAATTATTTGACAATTGGCTGTTATCAACTTCTTTTTTTCTGTCTAATTTTAATGGATCAACATGATGCTGGTTGACTTACAGAGATCAACTATTCACACTGAGTAAACAACCCGGGCAAGCACATTTATCTTAATTGGCAACAGACACTCCAATGATTTCACTATGTGAAAAAGACAAAGCAAAGATCTCTGCAGTTTCAAGAGCTGCTACAAGAGAACTAAATTTTAGAACAAAGAAAACTTTTTTTTGATGACTGGAATACTCAGAAAATCAAAAAGCTTCACTAACCTTCGACATTCATAGCTTCCCTCAGAAGCTGCAACTTCTTCTGTCTCTCTCTTATCCTGTCAAAGGCACTTGATATAGCTGCAGAAGCTGATGTCTCAGGCACATGGCGCGTTTGGTCCAGTTTTTGTGGTCCAAAGACATCCAGTGCTATGCTCCCATCAGAGTACCTTGTTTCCTTGTTTCTAGCAGCAGTAGAAGTCCGTACTGTAAATGTTTCACACTGATGGCTGTGCCTGTGAGAGCCTCCAGCATGGTTCCTCCCAGCTGCCTTGTCAGTAGTGCAAAGCAAATCTGTGGAAGAAGCCCATATTTTCCTTTTGGGAGGGACATCTGTATGAAGGTGACCTTTTTTCTCAAACTCACTGGTTTTACATCTGTGAGGACAGAAAACATCTTCCTGTCCTGAGCTGTAATCTACAGAAATGCCCTGGAAAAAGTCGTCTTCATCTTGTGTTCCTCTAATGGACAGAAATCCCATAGACTTGCTAAGTCCTTTGTTAAGTGTGGTCTGTTGAGAGAAGAGACCTCTGTGTTCATCAGGTGCATCAGTCGTCAATGTTTTCCCTGGAATAAGGAGACATTTCACACATGTAATTTTCTACTTAATACACAGTAATTCAACACAAGTGCATACTGAATACACACTTTAGTGTTGAGTTTGTCATCCAAAATATACTTAAAGGGTTGCCTCAGTCAACAAAGACACAACTCCAACTACCTCATATGACAAGCATTTTATTTATTTTATTTCTGAAGTTCTCAAGGAAAATGTTAGGCCTACTATAATTCAGTATTAACACAGAAAAACTCCAAGCTATCACATACATGCTGCAAGTTGTTTTTTCATTAGTTTTATTTTTAAAATAGTCTGGATTATCATCAAAAACACTACTTAATAATCAAACTGAAATCAGCCATTCCTCTCACACCCAAATACACCGCCTACAATTTTTCATAACAAGTCCAGGTTTGTTCAACAGATTTATAGATTCCTTGAAATAGCGTCAGTAGTTAGAAAAGAATGACTGCGTACTTAGGAATGATAAGAATCCCGGATCTTCCTCTAATGACTATTTTTGGTGATGACAGTCTCTCCAGATAAAGAATACTCTTAAAACCAACCAAGCTTCTGAGATCGAAGTGATCCTACAAGCCTGCACTTTCCATTTTCATTAATAAATAGATTCATCAATAATTAGGAACAGTCTCTCTTCTCCCTCTCCCTTACATGGAAATTACTTCCAGAATAAAAGAAACTGCCAGAGGTGGAATAATACCAATGAAATATGTGGTCTCTGAAGAACATAATTTCATGGTCACCGAGAAGTTTTGATGATCGTGTATGTCTCAGGCATAAAATTTTAGCCTGATTTTACAAAACTAATTACAAACATCAGTAAATATAATCAAATGTCTTAATATTAACAGATAATCTACAAGTTTACCTTTCATGTTCTTAAAACTTCCTGAGATCAAAGTTACATGATTATAATTATAACCATAAGATTAACATTCCATAGAAAACCTACAGACTACCCAACTGCTAGCAAACTAAAATTTTTTAATGGTTCTTCATTATTAGAGTGGCAAAAATCCCACATGTATTGTAGATATCAGCAATAATCTACTTGTATCCCTAACTGATCAAGTGCACTGAAAAAAATCTTATGAAGCCTAACCTTTCCAATTTGCAGGATACACACTGCACCAGTGTGGTAATCTCGACTTTATCATTGATACTCCTGAATAGAAAAACAACTAAAAATATTCTGTGCTGGGTTGCCTAAGCAATGCCTGCTCACCCAGGTAGAGTCCGTAGGGTATGTGATATTATCCTTAAAGTTAGCTCCCTCTTTACAGTGATATTCCCATGTACATCTTCTAAGATGTAACAGCCCTGAAGATATTGTAAAAGCAGGCAGTCATTCTAAGTAAATTACTGTGCTGTATCTACTGCCCTTAAAAATGTCTATACAATGCTGCCTGCTGCTCTTCCAACGATTGAAATTAACTGTCCCCCTTGCACAACAGGCTCCCGATGATCTTTATCTAAGAGTGTTATCCTCTCAAACAGAATTTCAAAGAATGCTTTAGGGATATTTGTAAATGTAGTCAGTAATGCTTTAAAAGCTTTCTTCTTCTAAAAGATGTAAACAACTTTCAGCTCTGATACTCTACTTGAAGAGGGGCTGGGCTGAGCTGTTAGTTTTCAGTTACTATTTCTGAAATACTTAATTAGCAATCAAAATAAGCAAGACTAAAGCCAACTGCAACCAAGCAACTCCTTGCTTCTTACCAACACACAAAACACATGACAGCAAAATGTTAAGGTTCAGATGGTATAAGAAACTACACAGTTCCCACATGCTCTAGCCAAGACAATTTAAAAAAACCCCAACTTTGCCAATGAGAATGAACTCATCTTCTAAAAGGATCTGACACATCACTTCATATTTTACAAATATAGCTTTAATTCTAAACTAAACATAATTATCTTTGTGGTCAGGTAAACATTATATTATTATCTTATTCTCAGACTGTACAACCTCCTAAGGCTGAGGTATACCTATAATATTTAAACACACAAAAAAGCCTTTTAAAAATAGCTGTTCATTGTGAAGTTCCCACGATCCATCTAAAGCAGCAGCACATTATCCCTTCCGCAAACACATACTTCACATTCATGTGCATGCACCAAGGACAAACATTCCTATACAGGATTCTAACTCAGTCATTTGTGAGATAAAAAACTAAATAATGCAGTTTATCTTTTAAGATTGTCACCAAAAACACAAATCCAAAGGAGTTCCAAGAATCCACCTCAGAAATGAGAGTTCTAAGAGAATTTTAGGCAGAAAAAACCCAAAATAACTGCCTCTACAGATTTTTCACATTTGTTTTAAATGTAAAAAAAACCAAACCAAACAAAACAAAAACCAAACCACAAAACAAACACCAAACAAAAAACCCCCCCAAACAACCACTTCTGCAACACTGTATATATAATATATATAAATGGCCAATCTTCGTGAACGAAGATCCGGGGAAGGTCTTTGCACCTTCCAGCCTGCGCATTGGATTTTTTTAGGTGAGACACAGTGTGCGCGGAACTGAGCCCACCCTTTAATCCTGAGGTTCATCTGCCGGGGCCAAGCATGCTTGGACGGTGGCAGCGAGGTCCTCAGGACGTAGATGGATTGCCTTACAGGGCTAACGAGCTCCATCTGCCCGGGGAGTGGCCCCGACCAGGACTCAAACCCGGGTCTCTGCGGTGACAGTGCAGCGCCTTTCCCCTAGACCACCAGGGGCTCCCATGTATTTACATGCTGAAACCTTATGGAACAACACAAGGACAAACAAAGCAGAAAAAAAGCCCAAAATAAGCAGACAGTTATAACTCCAATATACTACCAAGGATATACATTCAGGATTACTCAGTATATCATTGGTCATGACTCAGAACATTCCTGGCTCAAAAGATCATTTAGGTCTCGTCACACTGAAGCACTATCTTGCTGCAATTAATCCAATCACATCCAATGAAAAGAGTCACAACTGTATTTTTAATACCAGTGGGTATCCTCACCATAGCACCCCCAGAGACATAAAACTATCTGTTGTATGCTGGTGAGAACCGCACTGGAAGAACCCAGCTCTCAGTGAGAGTGCTACAGCATCCTCCTCACCAAAGCTGTAGTTTTTATGGACTTGGAGCATCCAGACCAGATGTAACAGAAGCTATTTCCAGTTCATGCAGAGGTGCAAAAGACACAAGCTCTTTTGCCTTGGCACGCAAGAGATGCTCTCTATTCCCCAAGTCCAAGTCATCCACCCACCTGGGGCTTCCTCATGAGGAAAAGTGAACACCATGAACACTATCTCATCAGCAGTGACTAGGAAAGTGTTCACTGCTACAGCTCTGCCACTCAAACAGCTAATTGCATGATGAGACAGGAGGTGAGCTGTCCCATCAGGAAGCAGAGTAGGAGGCATTACACTGCCACACTGCTCTTTCACTCTACCGGTCTAACTCATACCCACATTGACTTATGCAGCCAGCATGAGATTTTAACATAGTACCAAAAGGAATCTGCAGCTGGCCTTACTATTCAGTCTTTAGACTGCAAAATTCTCTAGGACATCTTTCATCATTCCTTTGTTATTCTCCCCACTCCTGCATCTCATCAGTCTTGGCAATTCTTCCCACCTTTGCAAAAACTCATCCCTCTCTGCATAACAGCATTTCAACAAGCTCTGCTTAAACTGATTCACAGTGCCAACATGAGCTGTTAAAGAATCATCCTCAGAGAAGGCTAAAGAAGTGACTCTGGGGCAAGGGATGCACAGCTTGCTCAAGGTGGGCATCTTGAGAGGGCAAACTGAAACAAAGTAGCACTTTAGCCAAAAATGCATGCTGCCCTTGGCAACAGAAAGCAGAGGCCAAGGATAAAGGACAAGACTTCTCAGTACAGAAGCAACTCAATTGCAGATATCAGTAGTAAAACTGGATTAGGCAACCAGTAACCAGTCCATGCCAATTTTTCTATTTTTAGTAAGTTAAATCTGTCCTCATCCCTTCTTACTTTTTTGAAGTACTATTATAGACTTTGAAAGTCACAAGTTAACTGTAAAGGTATTTTCCCTTTTTTTGTACTGGACTTCCTCAACACACTACCTCAGAATTAATTTGATCAAGGGTCTTAAATGACTGCAGTAAGTCTCTTTCAGCACAAGGCTCATATGTTGACCTTTCAGCTAACAGTGTACCTTCAAAACAGAGCAGACTGGAATAATATGCCCTTCTTTAGCACATGGATTTTCACTTGAATGGCATTAAGCCAATACTTAGTTTATCTTTCAACTTTTCTTCCTCTGTTTTTTATTATGAAATGAGTAGAAAAATAAAGGGAAGAACTACCAGCAAAAAAACTACACATAGAAAATAAAGATCCAACTAATGATCAAACGAACCTGACTGCATAATGGAACTTGTATGTCTTTGAATTATAATGCATGAGTAGACTCTTTTTATGATCTTCCTTTAAAAAAAAAAAGGAGGCTTGTATTTGTAATGGAAACTCTGGAGACCTACCCCAAGTATCTTGGCTCCACTAAAGACATTAGGTATCTCACCTGACACCACACAGAGCTGCTCCGTGCTTCAGTCACCCACCTGCATAACAGGACAGAGAAGTGCTTCCCTACTTGTCAGTGATGGTGACAGAACGAGCCATCAGCAATTAAAATGCTACAGCATGTAAGTAACTTCAAAAGGCATACTTTCCCCCTCCCCAGTTACTTCTCTGTTGAACTAAACTCTTCTGGCTCATTTGAACGTATGGGTTCTTGATTTCACATATCACCCTTGGGTGTTTATCCTCTACTTGATGTTACATTAGTGTAATTATTCATAATTACTGTAAATAATTCAAATGCAATTATAGTAACTGCATGATTCCAAAGTATATTATACACAGTGAGGGCATATATATAATAAAAATAGCAATTAATCACCAGGAGTTCACAATTAAATTCCCTTGTGGTGCTAAAATGAAAATCTAGTT